TCTTGGCCTCTTGTCTGTTCTTGGGTTGCGAGGGCATGGTGAAATTAGTAAATGACGGCACCTTAGTACGTGTAGGTAGGCACTGCAATACATTATGTTCATCCTGAGCCTTTCATTTGCTGTAATGCAGCAACTTGCACATGCATGGCATTTCCTGCGAGATGACCAATTCCCGCCAAATTTAAATTAATTCAGTACGCGTCCTGTCTAGTGCTGCCCATCTCTTCGCGTCTGACCACTGACTGCACGAGGAATATCAACGACTGCAGTTGTGGATTTGCCGTGGAAATCTGTACGTAAAATCGATTTTGTGGGGTTTCTAGTAGGGGGCTTGTATTTGGGTAATCCCGTTCGAGCAGCTACGTCTGTTCAACATGGAGGAACTGCGAGCGCTGCTGCGAGACGCCGAAGAGGCCCAGCTCCAGACGTTGCAGACAATAGCTGACGACTCGTCGCAGGTGTGTCGCCTGAAGGACCCCGTGCTGCTACTACTGGACGTGCTGGGCCAATGCGAGACGCAGGAGACGCGGGTCGAGACTCTTCAAGTGCTGCGTCGCTTGTTCGCGGTGTGTTCCGTCCACTTCTACGATGCCCAGGCCTTCTTGGAGGTGCCAGTGGGTGCTGAAAGGGGTCAGGACGTCATCAAGAGAGGGAATATCGTACTTAAATCGTTATTAGCTACACTACTGACAATCAGCGCCCAAAATGAAGTCGACGAGGAAACAGCCCAAGCGCTGGTGGACATGGTGCGTTCTCTGTGTCTGCATTCCATGAGCTCTACAGATGTGGTGGCCTTGTTCGATTTTTTACGACAGGGCCAATCGCCAGCTCGTCGGTGGATCTTGAAGATGCAGAAGAACCTGGTGGAAATGGATACTATTCCTCGTGCCATATTCACCATGAGAGGACCCAATGCTGGGCTGATTGTGCCGTCCGACCAGTCATTATTCACGAGGAGAGGTTATTCTTTCAGCTTTGGTATTCATCTGGATACTACTACAAAGGGTGTAGCGCTCTACAGCTTCCGAGGACACAATGGACAAGGTGTATCGGCCATGCTGGATGGTAAAACGTTGGTAGTAAAGATGGTTGCAGGACAGGGAGTTGTCCAACATGTTGAGGTGCCGTTTGCAGACTACGTTGAGAAGATGGAAAGGGAATGGGTACATTTGTGCATTGTGCACACCAAGAAGATGGTGTTTAAAGACAAACTGACGGTGTACGTGGACGGTAAGAGTGTGTTTAACGGAAATCTAGGATACCCGGATCCGCTGATGATGGTGGACGGACGAAATACTATTGGAATTGAACCTCTAGTGGATGGTCTGAAAGGAAAATTGTGGAGCCCCGCACTTTTCGGTGTTGCGCTCTCTGATACAGAAGTGCAAAAGCTGCATTGGCTAACCCACTGGAAGAATGATTTAAACTCGGCCGCGGCTGAAAATGCAGGGCTCTCAGATAAATCCAAATTTTGCTTTTGTTATGACGCGCGGAGCTGCTACTTGAGCAAGCGCATTTGCTTTGATGTCAGTGGAAATGACTGTCACGGATCGCTGGGTCCTGGAACAAGTGCGTATGTCACTCAAAGTTTCGTTCATGCACTGGATTCCGTGGGTGGCTGTGCCTGTTTTCTTCTGCTTTTACTGGACCAGATCCCCGAGATGGCAGACTTCCACCCTACTCACGAATTCGGAATGGGCGAAATCTCGGATCTTCTAGCATTTGTCGGTGCGGGACTTCGTCAGAGCACGGTCTGCCGTTCTCACTTCGTTCGTCTGCATGGCGTGAAGGTGGTGGAGTTTATTTTACAAACGATTTCTCCGAGCTATTTGTCGGTTTCTTTACTGGATGGCGTGGTTTCTATCTTAGAAGCCATTACGGAATGTTTGGAAAGTGATGAAGAGATTGTGGAGTATATCTACCGCCTGCTCTTCTTCAACACGAGCTGGTTTCTTTCACCGTTTGAATCACAAATGAAGCTTTTGGGTGGAATTCTTCCAAAATATTTGCAAATTCTTCAAAAAGCGAGCTTAAGAGAACAAGGCCGTTTATCTGACACCGGATCGCCTCCGTCCGGAAAGCTTGTGGTATCACGCGCAGCATCATTGTCTGAGTTTTCTCGCTCCCTGGATGCCAAGGACCAAGTAGACGTGAGCTTTTTCTGCCGCTTAATCTCTCAGGTATACACACCAGGCTCTTCATCGGACAAAGAGGGTATTGCGAGTGGTCAGATGGACGCGGCGCAATTGGCAAAATTACGCGAGCTAGTTCTTCATAACTTAATTGATCTCCTGCTCTTCCCTCCAGTGCAGGACTCAGCGGCTGATCAATGGTGTCAGCTTATCGCTTACATTTTTCGACAGTGTGAAGAAAGTTCATCAATAAAACGTTCTTGTGATGCGAACAATGGGGGCATCGAAGAGATCTTACAATACCTGACGCAAAATCTGGCGTCGACGGAGCTTCGCAAAGGTGCCTTCGGTCTGCCATCTCGCCAACTGCAATTGACAACGAATATTTTCAAGCTTTCGAAAGGGACAGTGCGTGTTTTGTGGAGACCAATGCTGTCAACGAACTACAACGTCCGCTTGGCTGCACTACGGTTGTTCGAGTTATACACATCTGAGAAGGTTTTATTGCACAAAAGCGACATGCTTATGCTGTACTCGTCGTTTCAAGCTCACACACTCACTGCCGATGTCGCTGATCTTCTGCTGGATATTGTTGTTGGACGGAAGCGCCAACCACAAGGCATCTTAAAGTCTTCGGCGGAGGTGCGTACGGGTAGCTTCGCACGGATGACTTTTATTCCGCTCGTGTTGCTGGGTCTGATTCATAGCGGAAGTTTCGATGTTCAAGCTCAAGTTCTCGCGGAAATTAGGGTCCAACTAGCCTCTCCTACAATGGGAGACAGCGTAAAAGAAGCGATTCGGTCGTGGCCATCATGGATGAGTCGGCTACGATCTCTCACGCTTGGGGCGTCCATTGCAGCAGCGTCGAACATGAGTCATGACATTGAAACAACACGAGAGAGGAGTTTGACGCAATCAGAGAAACTCAACGAGGCATGTGGACTTCTCAGTGCTGAGTCAACCTCTGCTTTCTCAAAGCTTGAAGCAGTCCAAATAATTGCGATCTCAGGGGATGTGTCAGCCTGTGACTTTGCATTGAGCTTGATACAAAACCGCAGCCAAAACGATATCGTGATCAGCGCCATTGTCGATATGGTCATTCAAAATTATCCGCAGCGCTGGTGTGAACTTGTTTGCAAGCTTGCCAACCAGATGATTGTGGATATCGTTGTCTACTGCATCCTCCACGTGAAAAATGGGTGGATGCACTTCCTCGAGTTTTATTTCGGCCATTGTCGAACGCCCTCCGTTCTCTGTAGCTTGACAGCTGTAATCTGCGAGAATGTTGTGCGTCAAGCAAACCAAAAACACTCGGTGCCTCAGGCTGAGATCATTCGGGAGAATCTCTGTCAAGTCGCCGCGGTTGTCTCCCTGAGCTCACTGGTGGCTACCAAAATGAGCGAAAAGCTAAACACTAACGATGTCATTCTTTCACCAGGTCAGCAGGCAATTCTTAGTCGCAAAGCACTTGAGCTTTGGCAGATCGTACTGCCTCATTTGAGTCGAATTAACTGGGATGGCCTTGTTGCCAACCTGGTCCAAAATGCTGACTATGGATCTGGAGTTACGCCCGAAGAAACAGAAATATTTACGTATCTCGTGGCTTCACGGTCACAATCAATGGTCTTGGCTTTGCAGGTGACTACTTGGTATGTGTCGATCGCTCAGACCAGCGGTACAAGTGATGTGGAACTAGTTCAAAAGTTCCATAGCGTACTCGAAGTGTTAAAACTCATCGCTTCGCTGCCAGTTGCGACAGCTTCTCACCGGTTTAGTGGGCCTCTGTCACCTTTGTCGGGATCATCCTCGCCTGGAGTAATGTCGCCACCGGGATCGGGATCGGCATTACCCGACATGGGGCTTTCGCTGCCGCTATCTGGAATAGCGGACTCTTCAAAATTCTTCACTGCGCTGCAGGGACAGGATGCAGCACCCGACAGAGAATTGGTTCACTTGTATACATTGGACGCCTGCTTCACGATTTTGGAAGGATCACTCGAAGGAAGCGACATTGAGACTGTCCGTTTGCTCGTCAAGATAATGGTGGCACTTGCTAATACGGCGTTACACATGCGTGATCCCAGCGCGAAGCCGGAGCTAACGAAAACGCTACAGATTATGTCGTCGACGGACTTGGTTTTTTACAGTGACTTATCTCAATTTCGCGAGCTGTTCATGTTGTGGAAGCTTCATCGTGAAAATCATCACAGTTGTTGTGACCCAGCAGTTATCCAAGGTTTTGTTGATCAAGAAAACGCCGATTTCATTCGACGATGGCTATACATCATGGAACACCATACCATGGAATTCAATCCGTACCTCATTCAGCAGCATGCCAGCTCCCAAGCGGAAATGCTAGGGAATGAACTCCAGCAGTGTGAAATTGTATGGAAGGAAATTGTAGATGAAGATGAGGCTGCTGAAGCTGCTCGAGCTAACGAGCAAGATACGACGAGCGAGTCACGTGTTGTTGAACTGAAACGTAGCACTGAGAAATTTGCGAGTAGTGTGCACAAACTCCTCGCTCATTCCAGTCAGGCAAGTAGGGCTTCACAAGTTGTAGAGGGTGAAACCTCTGCAAATGTGTCCGAGGAGGGCAAGACTCAACTTGCTGGTGATGGATTTATTCTCAAAATCGATTCGAGGGAGAACAACTTTCGTATGCGACTGCGCTTGAAGAAGGTGACTGAAGATTATCGCGTTCGAAGTTTAAGTTGCGAGTACGCCGCGTCGTCTCTTACAGATACAGAAAGTAAAGAGAGTGGAAAAAGAATAACTCGACGATTCCGTGGATCAATTGAAGGAGGCTTGGCCGATTTGGAGCATAGTTGGCGAAGTGATGCCGGATCAGATTACAGTGATTTCCTCGCCGACGCTCAGTTGCGAGCTGCAATAATTCGATCTCTATCCAACCCTGAAGAATATGAAAGCGCATATGGTGGAGTATCCGATGACGATGACCTGGACGCACAAGAAATGGACTTTTACGATGCTGATGACGATGAAGATTTATCTCAACTCTCAAGTGGCTCGCAGCAAAAAGAAATCGATGCTGATAGAAATTTGGCAAAAGTATCTCCGTCTGGTCAAGTTGAAGCGCTTGCTGATGATACAACGCATTGTTTAGCAACTCCAATTGCTATCCCTGAGTCGGCAGAAGCTTATTCATCCCCATCGCCTGTTGTAAAAGCTTCACCGCCTACTAGTGCGTTTTCGTTGGGTGCGTCTGTGTTGACTGTAGTTGGTGGGGTAGCGGATTATTTCCAGAAATCGGTGAAAGATGCCAAAGACGCCGTCGAATACGGTGTGGACTCTCTTTATACAACGAAGGATGTAGTGTCAGAAGAAGCACAGGTCTTGATGCAGGAGGTATCGACGTATATCGATAGCACTTCAGGGATGGCTGCGGAGAGCACAACTCCGGACGTTCCGTCATTGGAACTCACTCCGTCGTCTCTCAAAATGATGGAGACCAAGCTAACTTCTGGTAAGGTGGATGAAAGTACACCGAATCTGTTTCCAGGGCCGTCGAATACTAGAAATGTTCGACAAGGTCATGAAGGTGGGGCGAAACGTGCAAACACAACGTCGAAAGTTGACTTGCTAGTTAATACTCAGCTCGTGCGCCATCTTCACGTTGTGGAAGGCAAACTGATATTGTCCAATTCTTCTCTTCGGTTTATAGCTGAACGAGTGGTTGACGAACATGAGACTGTCGTTGTCGAGAAGAAGCCTGGGGTGCCTGTGGATAAAGCATGGAGGTTTCTCTTCAAACGTCGTCGATGGAAGATTGATGACATTGTGGGTATCTACCGTCGACGATATTTGCTGAAGCCGACGGCATTGGAGTTATTCATTCAATCCACAAGGAAAAACTTCTTTTTTAATCTGACGTCGGAGGATGTGGTACTTTTCCACGAGGCGCTTATGACGCGTAGGCCGCTTTTGCTGAAACGAGACCCGAATGTTCGAAGACTGCGTCATCCGAGCAGTTTGTTTCGTAATTCTCCTATGAGCACCCGCTGGATTCAGCACGAAATCTCCACTTTTGAGTATATCATGTGGCTGAATACGATCGCTGGCCGGACTTACAATGATCTCACGCAGTATCCTGTCTTCCCATGGATCATCTCCGACTATGAGTCGGCAACGCTGGATCTCAGCCGAAGAGGAGCTTACAGGGACTTATCCAAGCCAATGGGGGCGTTAGAACCAAGCCGTCTGAAGTTTTTTGTGGATCGCTACCATGCGTTTGAAGACCCAGACATCCCTAAGTTTATGCAAGTTTATTACCCTTTGTTATTTGTATTCATCGGCTTACGTAATGCTTTTTGAAATGTAGGTATGGGACCCACTACTCCAACATCGGCGCAGTGCTCTACTATCTCATCCGATTGGAACCTTTCACATCTTACGCACTGAGCATCCAGGGAGGCAAGTTTGATCATGCGGATCGCTTGTTTCATTCGGTTGCAGAGACCTGGAATAACTGCCTCACAGACTACACTGACTTGAAGGAGTTGACTCCTGAATGGTTTTACCTGCCGGAGTTCTTGGTGAACTGTAATGGTCTCGAACTGGGGACGCGACAAAACGGTGTGGATGTTAATGATGTTGTGCTCCCTCCTTGGGCACGCTCGCCAGAAGATTTTGTGGTGAAAAATCTTGTGGTACGTTACTCATCCGATAGATTGTCCCTGTTTCCGAGTCTAATGCCTTAATTCCCTCCAGGCCCTGGAAAGCGAGTACGTATCTGCCAACATTCATCATTGGGTCGACTTGGTGTTTGGTTGTAAACAGCGTGGAGCAGCGGCTGTAGAGGCTAACAACGTGTTCTTCTACCTCACTTACGAGGGCATGGTTGATGTCGATTCCATCACTGACCCGATTATCAAGTCGTCAATGCAGTCTCAAATTGCTCATTTCGGACAAACGCCCACCCAAGTGCTTCGGGAACCTCATCCCAAGCGCTGTTCTCTTGGAGCTGTAACGGGAAATCCCGCACCCCTGGAGAAATTGTCACCGCCGTCGTCTGAGCTCAACTGCACAGTGTTAAGCGTCCCTCATGAGGCCCCCATTGTACTGGTTAAACTGATTCCAGGCTCTTCACTCATTGCCTGTGTTGATAGCAATGGCATGTTCTCTTCTCACCGATTCGGACCCAAGCTGTCGAAATCGCAGCAGCCTTCTAGCAAGGCTAAAGGAGTGACGTCTAGTTCGAGTTCTGGTGGCGATCAATCGAGCGAATTCATCGAGCTTCAAGATCGCAAGAGCCGAAAAGTGCTTGGCGACAAGCGCTCCGTGTCTAACCAGCTGGATGTCTCCAACTCAATCGCTTTTCTTCACGGGGGTATGGTGATTTGCACCGTGGGTCATCATGACTTTTCTGCTCGTTTCCACTCGACAGCGGACGGCGCGCTACTGTATCGGTTGTTGCAGCACCAATCTGTAGTATCCTGTGTAAGCACTAGCAACTTGGGTACGATGCTAGCTCTTGGTTGTACCGATGGCACGATATCTGTATGGAAAGTGGCAAGCATGAACTCGACATTGCTGGACTCGTTCAAGATATTCCGAGGATCAAGAGTGAGCTCTAAACCTGTTCACGCCAACGATTACTCAGCTGACCAAGTGCTGCTGGGACACAATGCTCAGATTAACTGCGTGAGTGCATCTGACGAGTTAGGCGTCTGTGTTAGCGGATCTGCGTCCAATGAGTGCTTGGTACACGACCTGGAAGACGGCTCGATTCTCCATTCTTACGATGTACCTGGCCACCTCGAGCCTGGAGTGATTTCACTTGCTTTATCCAACGTGGGTCACGTCGTGCTGCAGTCTATGGGCACTGGGACTCCAATACTGTATTCATTTCACTTGAACGGCACGTTGATGGGTCAGCTCTCGCTGGGTGACCGTCCCATGACGTCGTTGAGTGTATGCGCACGCTACTCGAAGATGGTTGTAAGCAACAGCACGAAAGCACTGGTGATGAGTGCGCACACACTTGACGATCAACGTGTACTACTCGAGCAAGATACCTATGGCGAAATTTCTTCTCAAGGACTGGCACCTGATGAAATGCACGCAGTGTTTGGCGTTGGCAGCGGTAAGATCGTATGTCTCCCGCTTTTGCCACCGCAATCGCCACTGCACCGCACGGAAATATAGGAGGTATATCGAACATATATTGGTTTTTGAAAATCTATGGCTCATTCCTCCATCTCCACGTCTTGCTGTCCTACCGTCTCAGCGTCAACAGTTTCATCTTCACTTTCACTGTCCTGGTCCAGTTCAGGTGGGCGGTTGGCAATGGAGGTTTTAAGTTCATCGATAGTCTCGTTGACGCTCTCGAGCTGATCCTGCAGGTAGAAATCGTCACGTAGCTCCTTCTTGAGCTTCTTTAGCATCGTCTGGCACTTCTCGAAGAATTCGAGAGCATTGGGCAAGTCGTCCATTGCGCGGTAGCATGTTCCCACTAGGAACCAGAGCTCTGCGTTCTCGTCGTCCTCCTGCATCACTCCCTCCAGTACATCGCAGGCCTGTTCGTATCGCTCCACCTCGATGAGCATTTTGCCTGTGGCAGTTCGGAACTCCAGGGACGGCAAGCTGTCCTCATCGCAGCTCTCGTTGAGGCGACGATATGTCTCCTCCAGCAGGCCGTCGGCCGCCTCCTTGTTCTGCTGCACGAGCCGTAAGTTAGCTAGCGCCTGTGTGGGCTCGGGCAAACCGACGTCATACTTCATGGCCTCCTGGAAATACTTTTCGCAGCGGGTTTCAGCCTCCTCGTGGTCACACAGGTCTGTCATGTAGAGCTCCCCAAGCGAGCAGAAGGCGTCACAAATCTGCTTCTTGATGGTAAGCGCCTCAGATGTGTTGGGATCCACATGCTGCTGTAGTTCCTGCTGTAGGAACTTGATACCTTGCGTCGTGTAGCGCTCGGCGTCTTCGCCTGTGGCCAGTTGTGATAAGTAGAAATATTTGGCCGGGTTCTGAGCTGGCGCTAGCTGTACACTCTGCTGGAAAGCCGATAACGCACGCTCCGGGTTGTCCAGCTCCGTGCTCAGCTCACCGATCGAATCCAACAGTGACGTGTTGGCTGGCTCCTGCAGCAGTGCCTTCTCAAAGAACTGCACAGCCAACTCCGGTTGACATTGGTCCACGAGCGCTTCTGCCTTGGCCACCAGCTCGGCCACCGTGTACTGCGCGTTGCCTCGAGCCATGTCTGTCAAGTGGCTTCAGTCACCAAGTGATTGACTGTCCGCCAACAGCTCACATAGGCCGTTCCGTAGGCAAGTATATGACGGATAGTAGTGCGACTGAAAAATCACCGTAGAAGCACTTTATCTAAAAAAAAAATTCTTGCACGGCAAATGGCAAAATACGTTTTTTATACACTGGAAATCTACCTCCTGTCTCGTCGGGTTGCATATTTATCTCTACGACTGATGCGTTGCAGCTGAAGCGACTCTCGATGTCTCTGATGCCGGTGTTGCTGCGAAGATGGTCTATGTCGCTGTGACGTTCGTCGCTGTGAGTGATTTTTCCTGCTTGAGTTGGTCTGGTACTCCTCCATCGAGTCTTCCTCGTACAGCACAACCGGTGTGGTACCTCGCCGATAACGACCTCGATCCGAAATATCGTCTAGAGGCGCATTGTTGCGATGACTGCGCTGGCTATTGGGCTCCAGTGGGGTATTATAACGACGTCCTCGCTTTGTGTTGGGGCCAAACGGGTAGGCGTCGACGGTGAGTCGGTGGTCTAGCGAAGTCGTGTTGTTGTCCGATAGAATGGCAGTGCCGCTAAGTGAGTTCTCCAATCCGCTCATGTTGGGCGAGTACTGGTACTGGCCTTCGACCCATAAGTCCGGCGTAATATCCGTGTCCAACATGCTAAGCTGTGGGGCAGGCTGATGAGGCAGTGAACCCACGATGAAAGGCTCATCATGGTTGCTCGGGTCTTCTGAGTACGCTCGTCGCCGATTCCTCCGGCCATACATTACCACGGCACATATTGCCGCGATGGCGATTATGGCCAGAACAGAAGCCACGATCACAAGCGTGGTCGAACTCGAACCTGTACCTATGACTCCCACGCTGTCACCGGAGCTGCTATCGTCGCTCGAACCTGTCGGGAGATTGTCGACCACGGAGCTGTTTCCTGCCATCGAACCGCTGCCGGAAGAACTGCTGGATGAAGATTCCGTAGACTTCGGTGCAGTGTCATTGACAGGGATGATAAGAATCTCCTCCGTGGACCCGGACCCTTCGTAGATAATGTGCACTGTGCTGTCGTTGGGCAGAATATCTGACCAGTCCATGCTGTCGTTCGCTTTGACATGGCCCACGCCGCTGTCATCGACATAGCTGGTCGCGTTTGAGAGAAACGACATGTCCACCGTCCTGAGTGAGCCCGACCCAGCACCTATGCTGTCGTTGTCACCGTCAGCGACTTCCTGTACTCGTCGTAGAGTGTTAGAGGGACTTCCTGCATTAACACCCTGGGTCGTCATGGTGGTCGACCCCCTGGCTGGTGCGAGTGTGCTGCTTCGACCAGCCGATTCCAGCGCAGATAGATCTATGAGCTCATGAGCTGCGAGAACACCTGTAGAGGCAGTTCAAAGCCCTCCACGCCCTCCCTGATGTGACCCATTGGGGATTACGAAAGTACAAGTTGGTGCCTGTAAAGTACAAAGCCAGCTCCATGGGCCTGGGCGGCCCAGACTGGGTCTCGGTACTAGGGCCCATTTTGAGCGTTCAGTCCTTACAAAGCAGATGTTCGGGAAGAGCAGATCGGAATCTCTTCGAGATCGGTAATATGTAGGCTTAGATGCTATAATTGTACTTTCGAAATTAATTAAACCCAAAAAATAATAATGTGTTGAAAAGGTGCGAAATATCCTGTGGTCCACATGAATCATCGAAAGATCATATGTGGACCACACTGTCTTCAGTGTTTTGAAATTCAAACCATACTCTCCTTCTTGCTACGTCAATGATGCGGCGCACGACGCTCGGTCCCGTGTCGTCCTCGCAGCTCAACGCGCGTTCCTCCGCGCTGCGCCACCCGTCCACACGTGTGTCTGTGCCTAGCAAAAGCACAGCGGCGATGGAGCGCCAGTCCATCGGCATCGCGTCCCGCCGCGTTTCCACTGCCGCGGGTACCGTTAGGAGACCCCCCATCGGCCCTCGGGCTTCCATGAACGCGCGTCAGTCTGTGGGAGCCAATCGCCGCAACAGCACTTACAGCTCACGCGCTTCCGTATCAGGACGCGGGGGTACGCGTGTAGTGGACCCACGCCCTGTGACCGATCGCTCGTTCCAGAACAGCTGCGTGCAAACGCTCGTCGAGTTCTTGAGTGAGCACATGTACGACCAGGCGATTCCACCGGCACTAGCGCGGCGTGGACCGTCCAAGAATGACTTCAAGAACATGATCCTCTTTTTATTCAAGCAGGTGGATCCTACCTTTGAGTTCGGCCCCAAATTCGAGGAGGACGTCGTGCAGCAGTTGCGTGACCTGCGGTACCCCGTCTCCATCAGCAAGACGTCATTGGCGGCAGTGGGTACACCTCATACGTGGCCTATGCTGCTGATGGCCATGTCTTGGCTAATTGAGCTGCTCAGTGTACGTGTAGAGCTGGAACGATAGTAGTGCTCCGTTATTGGATACTGATGTTATTTTCCGCGTTTTAATTGCAATTAGTATGATGAAGCTATCCAGCAGGCGAACGATGCGGAGCAGGACGCAGAGAATGACGAGGAAAACGGAGACAAGCCGTTCTTCAAGTATTTGGATGCCTCTTACCATGTCTTCCTCGCTGGAGAAGACGACAAGTTCGAAGCCTTGGAGAAACAAGAGCGAGAGAAACTTAGTACGATCTGTTTGTCGTAGTCGTTGAGGGTTCGTATGCTGACTTGGATCCCGCGTGTTACAGTCGCACGAAACGAGGTGGTGAAACAAGAAACAAGCGAACTGGAGCAGCAGCGCGAAGAGTTGAAAAGGCGTATTGAGAAGGCTAAAAGGGACAAGGTACGTCAACCTTATTTCGTGTCTATTCTCTGCAGTGATGAAGACTGACCTAACTGATTTCACTGTCACATGCACTTGCAGAATACCTTGGCTGAGCTCAATTCGAAGAAAAATGACTGCGAGAGCGACCTGTTCAAATTCAGGAAATTAGTTAAAGACTGTGAGAAAGCAAAAATCAAGTTGGAAAAGAAGCTCGAATCCCTCGTCAGTGTCCAGCAGTCCTGCGGTAAGAAGTTGTGTATATTCAAACCACCTATTGTATTTTCAAAGAACAACCATATTGGTTGTGGTTGAATTTTGCAGATGAAGAGCTTGCTGCCCGCCAGGAAGAAATCAAGAGACTACAAACCCGTATAAACAACCAGGAGTTGTCTGCGCACGATATCGAGCAAATAGGCATTGAGAGAGCGAGGCTGACAGAGCAACTCCACCAAGCGTTTGCTCAACAAGACGAACTTCAGAAACGAATCAAAAATGACGAGAATCGCGCTGCAGAGATTCGAGACGATGTACGGTTGCTGTGTGGGAATGCGGTAAAAAAAAAACCATGTCCTCTAACGCTTATTCATGGTATATACGATTCTTTGGTCAGCTTGACGCCCAGATTCACAAGTATATGGTTACTTGCAAGCAACTGAAGATGATTCCGATGACCGCGAAGAACTCTTTCAACTTCGATTTTGCTCTCGAATTGGATTCAAGTCTAGAGGAACTAACGGCGGTTCAAAAGTTGACGCATCATCTGAAGACGGGAATTCGCCAAGCAGCCATGCACCTTAAACAAAACCGAATCGCGCGCGCCAACAAAGGTCTGGACACCGCGCTTGAGCTGGATGAGGAATTGCAGAAATGTGAAAACCAGCTGAACGTCGAGATTGAAAGTGAGAAGTTCTGGGAATCAAAAGCGAAAAAATACGCCGAGCAGATGCTCAAAGAGCGTGAAAAGAGAGCTGAAGTTTTTCGACGGAAGACGACCGCAACAGAAGAAGTCGAGAAAAAGATTACACAAATCTCCAATGGAGACAACCTTGCTGAAGAAGAGGCCATGAGCCGCCAACATTTGCTGGACGTGAGGAAAACGTGAGTGCTGAACGTTTGACTTGTGATCGATCTTGAACTCTGACGGTGTTGTGTATAATGCAGGTCGGTGGAAATGACGGAGGGCTATCAGGCTTTAATTGATAAGAACCAAAGAGCTGTCACGCATGCTCTCATGGCATGCACAAACCACAAGGAAATGGTTGACCAAGCTATTTTGTCCCTGGAAACAGAGGTAAACAAGGTGGAGCTTTGATGTGATACTACTGTAAACTCGCGATGTCCACGTTCTGGTAACTTTAGCCATCCAAGCCACAGCTTACTGGAAGCATGCAAATATTGTAGGAGTAACGAAGAAAATGATTTTATCATGCAGACTCGCTGTTGCCTCTCTTCATGTCTAAGACTTACGACCCGCCGGCCTAGAATGCTCCTTCAATATCTGATGTGGTCGCTCGAGTCTGCTATCAACGCGCTCTACGCATCCAGCGATGTCGTGCGCAATACAAACTGATCGAAGCGCTCCTGCAGTTTCTGACGCTGAGCCATGCGCCGCCGCACGAGACTCGAGCGATTCTGCTTCCAGAAGCGGATTTCGTCTTCAGGGATGCCGTGGTTCTCGTCGTCTGTGTCCACATCGAGCTCCGGCAACGATGACGTAAATTGGTTAGATGCATCCCAGCCCATCGATGACAGCAGTTGCCACTCCATGCGCTCGTCATACGTCAAATTCCCACGCAGGCACGGTTCGTCACATGTCGAGTCGCACTGATGCGATCCCATGGGATCCAAAGATCTACTGGAATTGTTGAGATCGTCGTCATCGCCTTGGCTACTGATAGAGTTGGTCGAAGATAGAGATGCAACGGTTTTACTGCTGTCAGAGTGCTTGCGCGATTTCGTCTGCTTTGGCTTTTGCTTCTCGGCTTGCTGACTTTTCTCTGATTCTGACCGATCCGCTTGCTTCTGTTTCGATGCTGTTTTGCGCTTCTTCTTCTTCTCTTTTCGTTTCTCTTTCTTCTTTGCTAGTCTTCGAGATTCGTCATCTTCCTCTGCCAGCAGTTGTTCCATCATCTCCTCGCCATGCAGCGCCTCCACTGCCTCGTCGAAGTTACGGCGCAATGTAGACACGGCACAATGCACCAACAACTCCTCCGCACGCTTTTCTGACCGAGACTTCGTCCACAGGTTCTGCATCTTGTCCCAAATTACCATTCCCAAACATATAAGAACTTCGTCCTGTGCTTCGGCGATTGTACGTGCGTGACGATCTCCCCAGTCGCCGACAACCTCCTGGTCTGCTCGAGACATCAGCTGCGACATAAACTCAATATTACAAGGCACAATGATCTGGTTGGTAGCGCGAGAAAACGCGAGCTCGTCGAACAAATACGATGTGTAGTGCAGATCGTCCCCATAGTCGCTGTGCTCGTGATGCTTTTCCGAGCACTCGAAGCCTCCGCAATCCTCGCAGTCGTCCTCGCTACAACTCGATCCGATGAGCAGATCATATGCTTCTAACACCTTCTCCTTGCACCGGCAGCAAAAGCGATGACGACGCAGGTAGCTCTCCAGATCGGTCAAAAACTGATCCGAATCAATATGCGAGAGATGTCGCTGGTGATCCTCTGGGAGCTTATGCCACAGCGCCTCGAACGCAGCAGGACGCGGACGGCCTCGAACGCGCTGTGAGTGCAGCTGACATCTTGCTCGCGATGTGCCTGCTTTGCTGTTAGGCTTGGTCGGTTTAACCAGCGTGGAGCTGGCCCATCGGTCTTGGTGGTAAAACAGAGAGAACGACGTGTCTGGGCTGTTGAGATACGATTCATTCAGTCGGAAGTGGTTGTCCTTGTCGAAGCACAAGCCCGACCGACTGACGATCTGCGGGACGCGGACGATGCCGTCCACCAGCTTGTAGTACAGCGCCTCGGCACTGTTCCGACAGCCCGGACACGGCAGCAAGTCGGTGGCTGTCTGCAGGAACTGGTTCACGTCTCCTCGAAGCGCTGCAACACGCTCGCGGTCCGTCAGCAACAGCCATCGCTACCACAATTACACAAGCACAAGCACGTCGTCGTTAGCTGCTGCAGCCTCGTCTCCTTTCGTCTGGTGGACCTCGCTCACCTTGCGGAATTCGCGCGTCTCCGCGGCGCTGGGCTGGCACTGACAGCTTGAATTGGGGCTGCACTTGTCGTAGTGCTGTTTCGAGCCTGCGTCTGGGCTCGGCTCGCGGTCGCACCCCGCCATGGCGATCAACTCGGACGCGTTTCTAATCTGGCAACCATATAGAAACACCGTCAAGCGTTGAAAAAACGAATGAAAAATTGGTCGCAACAACACAAGAAGCACATGCAGCCAACAAAACGCACCTTGACAACGGAAGAGAACTGCCGGGTCTCGGCAACTCAGTTTCTGGCAGGCTCTGCGCTCAACTCGCTTTTTGCCGAAGGCGGGAGTTTGTATGAGGCCAGCTTGCTCTCTAAACTCATAGGGGAAGGGATGGGATATTTATGACCAATGGAAGACTATTGTGAACAGATGTCTTATTGGTGGAAATCCAAAGACCAGATGGATACGCAACCGCTGCAACCAGTGCAACATGGACACAGCTAAATAGTTTATTGCTGCTGCTCTTGTCGGGCTTGCAATGAAGCGGTGATGTCGCGCAGGCGAGCAACTTTTGCCTCTCGACTCAGGCGACACACCTTTTTCGGGAAGTTAGGCAAGTCTCTCCAGTTGAAGAAGTCGGGCACGTGCTTGAGCTCCGGAGTGTGCTTCATCACGGATGAATTCTTCGTGATAAAATACGGCAGCAGCGCCAAGTGGGCGAAGTCGTCCTCCATATGCCACGTCAAGTTGCGCTCCAGCATCACGTGCGACCGCCGCAGTACACGGATATCGCTGTGACTCAGTAGACGCTGCCTTGCCATCCGCTGCATCAGAGCCTCCGCTTTCTGCAGGTACAAGCCGAAGAGTTAGTAGATGGTCTTTACGAGCCTATGAGCTTATAATATATGGCATACCTTTGCGCCTTGAACTGGTCTGGCTTTTAGTCCAATGACGGGGTCAAGCAGCTTCGGTCCTTCAACAAGCGCTGCCGTCTCCGCTGTCTTCTTCTGCGTTTTGCTCGGCTTCGTCGCTTTGTTGTTCATTCCGATTACCTTCCGACAATTTGGTGCTCCGCATAGACACTCCGTGATCTCCTGATCATATCAAGGTAAATAGTCAGACACCATGTCATAAAATCAGACAAAACCATATCAGACGTCTCAACTTACCGCTTTGCTGAAAGACTCGAACTTGTAGTCGAACGTCAGCTCCTCGCCAGCAACGATATCGCGCAGAGCGAAAATGGCGCACCTTTCTTCGCCATTAACGTCCCATTTTTCTACTCCGCAATTGGGGTCGCAGCTATGGTTGATGAAGCGCGCCCACCCGCCCATGCGCGTAGCGTCAATGACTTCACCGCCACTTAACACCATCATGTAACGGTGCTTCTCATTATGGTAAAGCTGACAAGTACGAACTCCATTAGCTCAACGCAATGCCAATGCAGTATCGACTGATGGTAATGCAGGAACGCACCACTCGTCGCATATAGTACTCTTGTTCCGTCACGATCTCGCCCATATACTCGCCTACGAACGAGCCTGCCTTAATGTCCTCCAGTAACTTCATTCCGAGACCTTTTCTCCCGCAGTCTATGAGTTGTGTGGACGGCATGACCCCATGCTGTATTCTCATATTATCGCAACGATCGCTGCATTTGCAGAACCCCGGCTTGCATTCCACCAAAGCCTATGGGAAACGCATACAATATATGAGTCAATACAGCAACAACCTCCACGTCTGTAAACCAAAACACGAGCTTACAGCACGATTTAAGCAGCCGTCGAGACACCCCATTTCGCTCTCATTTGTCGGTGGCTTGCAAGAGCAAATGGACACTTCATCCTAGCACGCGTACACCGTCAATATATCGCGAAAAACAAAAATGGTCACATTGTAGACCCATCACGTACATCAGGCAGCGAGCGCTCTTTACGCTGGACGTAGACATTGTGCTTGATGATCTGGATCTCCGCCAGCGCCACTTCGATGGAGCGTGTCCCCGAGACGCGGCTAGCACGGAACGCCTGATCCCGGTCGCCGCCCCTGATATTCAAATGAGTATATCTCAGTATATTCTGCACCATTCTCGCTGAAATGGTGACGAATCGATAGAGTGTAGTCTGTAGTATAAGAAAACGAAGTAGTATAGCTAGTATACGTACAGCGAGCGCGCAGATACGTCGCCAGCCGCGTCCTCCTTCTTCTCCTCTTTGACGGTCTCATCCATTGCACTTCTGTTTTGTTTTATGAGGCCTACATCTTAATGATCATTGGACAAAAACAGATTGACTCATTCCGTATCATCAAGCGTCACTTTGAAGGCGATGGAGCTGCTCGCGGACGCAGCTTGGCAATGGCGCCCCAAGGCAACACTCACAGCTGCAGACACATGTGACAGTTGCACCGTGTTTGCGTTGCACTATAGTGACTGCTCAGTGCTCCGAGTGCGTTGGAATGATAATTCACCGACAAGCTCCAGATTTCTGGATTCTCAGACGGACTTAGAGCCGCAAGAGAGAGATCTGGAGCTGCATGGGCACGCCAAGCGCATCATATGCGTCAAGATACACCACAAAAATGAACCCCTTGCGACTATTTGCTCGGCATCTCGAGATTGGTATGCTCACAGGTCTGACATGTCGGAAACTGGTATTGGAGCTGACGGTGAGTTGGTGCAGTGTTATGGTGTGGCATATTGCAGGGAAATCTCGCGTAAAGCAATCCGTTTTGGTGGAGAGCCTGCCAGCAGAGCCGGGCTGGGTCACATTTGATGATACTGGTACTTTAGTGGCAGTGGCAAGTGAACGGGATGTTAAGATTTTCGTCATAGAGCGGAAGGAGGTGCTGGTCACTCTGGAAGGCCACCTGGCACGAGTAAGTAATTGTGATAGAAATCCGTTAGCTGCTTACAAGCAAAAAGTCATGAGGATTGCATATTTTGGAAATGGTGCAGGTAACGCGAGGCGAGTTTCACCCAATTCACCATCATTTGTTGATCACTGCCTCAGAAGATCGTACATTCAAGGTATACTCTACGTTAACAGCAGGAGAATTCAAGATGTTTCCAAAATAATCGTGGTTTGTCTGTGAGCGTAGATATGGGACCTTGCAGCGAGAGCACTGTGGTTTCAATCATCGGTGTTGTCAGCGTTTGCGATTCTATCCATCGCATTGAATCCTGTAAATGGTGACGCTGCCTTCGGTTTTGCGGACGGGTCTGTCAAGGTGTTTGAATTGCTGGATGGATACGCAAAAGAGCTCACTGCGTGTAACGTTGAAAACTACATACAAAAAATTTTGCGGCGAAAGCAGGTATCAGTGAAAAACGTTAGTGGCGTACACGAACAACTAATTTGACTGTTATGCCCTCGTAATACTCTGAAGGAAGAGGAAAGAGCGGCACACCGAGAGAAGCCTCAAGTCATTAGCTCCCTTCCACCGTGGGCACGCAGTGGGAATGCACAGAAGTCTACAACTGGCGCTGGCACGGGTGTTACCTACGGATCCGCCAATACTCTAGAGCAAGTCGACCCAAACGATGAAGACGAGATTAAAAGCGCAGTTTCTTGTCCAGTTTTGTCGATGAAGTACGTCTGTATGGATCACAACGTTTCCAGAATTTCGACTACCAAGGGGAAACAACGGAGTTTCAGTAGCAATCAGGATCGTGAGTTAGTCGACTCCAAGCAGTTTCTCGTTGTGGGTGTACCGGGCTATCTTCTCTGCGTGAATGCTTTCTCGTTCAAGATCGAAGTTATTCATGATTTTCAGCATTCTCTCGAGGGAGAACGACAGCTGTTCGATCCGATTTGCGTTGCGAAAGACTTTTGCTTTTATCATCCACCACGGACTGATACTCTGTACTGCGGTGTGATAAGTGCTTTCCAACCCTGCTTCACGATGCTGAGCACAGCAACAACGTCATGCAGTCCGAATAATGGAAATCAAGTTGAGGAAAATGCTGTGACTAACCACCAGATTTTACCTTGTCAAGAACGACCTGCATCCAGTGTCAACAATGAACGAGTGTCGGTAATCCCAAGAGGCCCGCCTCCTAGGGACAGTGTACTGAATATGCCACCGCTATCAGCAAAGAAGACACCACCTAAACGTTCAAAAAGCTCGGACAAAGCCGTCACATTTCATACGCGCATCAAGTCGTCTGGGTATGGTTTTTCAACTCCTTTCGACTCGAGACGAACACCACCAAAATTGCTTACTAAAGCTCGTAGGTCACTGACCGATAATCGAGCGAAGACTTCGAATTCATCGACATCGACAAGTTCTTACCTGAAGGAATATCCGACGAACTGTGGGCTGTTACAACATTATCAACCGAAACATGCGCTGCCACCAAAAGCATTGCATCAAGGTGCAATCCTACACATCGAATACTCAAGCGATGCTAAGTATCTTGCAACGAGTGGTAACGATCGGGTATCACAAGTGTGTAAGTTACCCTTTAGTCGATTTGGTGGTGAAGGCAATGTGCTTGTCGGACACGATCAAGCAGTACGTGCCATCCACTGGAGTCAGAACGATCGAATGCTAGTGACGGTAGGGAGTGACAAGACGAGTCGAGTATGGCTAGCTGACAGTGACACGTCCTCTCTTACACTGCAAGGAATCGCTCCACCTTCAGGTGTTGCCACTGCAGCAGCTGCGATGGGATCTATGTCCAGTGCTAAGAAAGCTTCAAGACAGGATATCGTGGAGGCACGATTCTTTTACATGGATAAGTTCCTGCTATCGGCATGCGGCAACATTGCACGATTGCATCAATTTAAGCTGGACGAAGTGTACGCTCGTGCTTCTAGTACCAACACAAAGCTTATGAAGAAGAAGAACGATGTTGAAGTCATCGAGAACCAGAGTCGAAAGAAACGGGTTGCTCAATGGAGTTTCGACGACATGCAAAGCGTGACCAGTCTCGCCTGTGTGAATGGAGCTTTCTTGTCGTCTGTAGCAGTAATTGCTGGAACAGACCGCTCGCTACGGGTCTTGGACGTCGGTGCCGGCGGTGGCGGCCGTACTGTGCGCATAATCCGCGACGCACACAGTCGTGCTGCACACACGGTCGCATTGGCTCGACCGACATGCTATGCGAGCCACCCCAGCAACTTCTACGATCTCTTACTAAGCAGCGCGCCGGACAACACGACACATTTGTGGGACATCCGAGCTGATAACTGCGTTATGCGCTTCTGCGAGCACGTTAATCGAGTGCACACACTGGGCGTTTCTTTTAGTCCTTGTATGCGCTACGTGGCCACAGGGTCGGAAGACAGAACCGCATACATTTACGATATTCGCACAGGTCGACGCCTTGTCAAGCTCAAGGGCCACACTGACGTGGTCACTAGCGTAGCGTTCAGTCCTCTCTACCCACAGCTAGCTACAGCTTCATACGATGGCGCTGTTCGATTCTATAGCCATGAGAAATCCAATTAAGTTTTACAAGATGAAACTGCGCGAATATATTTCAACACAAAATGCATTAGAACACATTGGAACCCATGCGCATTGCAATGCCCGCAGACATCTCGAGGCAGGCAGAAGCCGGCAAGGAAAGTTAGCTAGCTATAGCCACAACTCATGTCTCCTAGTTCAAAATCTACGGTCGAATTCTGCACTCAAATCCTCGAGAAGCCAACCACTTAGTCGAAAACGCAGCTAAGTTTACACGCGCACGGCGGGAGAGTTCACGAAAGAGCCTTCCTCCATGTCGGGGTCGTCGTTCTTGGCCTTAGAGCTGTCCATCAGGCCCTTGCGCTCCTTCGTGGCCTTCTCCTCCGGCTCCGTCTGCACGTCATCGTCTTCGACAGCGTGCTCGGCCTTGGCTCCGGCAATGGTACGCTCCAGATCCTTCTGTGCCTTGCGCTTACGCATAATGAAGACAACCAGAGCGACGATAATAGCGATAAGCGCCACTGTAGCAGAGCCGACAATAGCAACTTCCTCCTTATCGAACTCCTCAAGTCGAGACAAGAAGTCGGTCTGCACGGCTTCGGTCTCGGTGGTACCGTTGCTGGCGTGGATATGCTTCATGGGCTGAGCAAGGAACTTCTTACGCTGCGTGGGCGTCATGCACTCGGGCACCTCCTCCTGGATACGCAGCCAGTTGACAATTTCGCCTTCTTCACGGTGACCACACTCGGTCAGAAGCAGACGCTTGCCCTCGGGGATGAAGTTCAGAATGAATCGACCCTGGGTCTCGTCCTCGCCGTCTTTGGTGCAGTTGATGTAGGCCACAACGTGGTACGAGAAGCGTCCGTTCTCCTCGGCCTTCTGCTCCACAGCGTTCATGGTCATGTTGAAGGTGTCGCACACCTCCGTGTCGTTGTACGAGATGAAAGCGTACAGCGAAGCTTTGATGACGAGTAGCGGAGGGTCGTCGTACACACTCACCCAGCCATCCTCGTTACGCAGATCAATCTTATCAATTTCGGCGCTTCCTTCGGAGGAACCATCAATGATACCCTCGTTCTTGTTACCCTTGATCTTTTTGTCGTTGACACTATTGTCAGCGTCCGAAGTCTCCTCAGCCTCATCCGCGGTGGTCGTGGTGGTAGTGGTGGTGGTAGCCGCCTTGGTCGACTTGGTTGACTTGGCGGGGGCTTTGGTCTCCTCCTCTTCCTCAGCAGCAGCAGGGGCGGGCGTGGCCTTCTTTTTCTTCTTCTTGGGGGCGGACGTGGTCTTGGTCGCAGATTCATCTGCGGACTCCTTAGTAGACGAACTGATGACTCCATCCTCGCTGCCAGAAGTCTTAGATTTCTTTTTCTTCTTCTTCTTCGTGGGGGCCTTGGTGGCCACATCCTCATCTTCGTCCTCAGAAGCGGGCGCGGCTGCCAGCACACGCGTCTCGATCGACGGGTGGATCATGGAGGCGTCGAAAGCCGCCACGTTGTTCTCACTGTTCACGACCAAAGTGTTGGCCTCGGTCGAGGCTGGAAGCGAGAAGGCAGAGATCGCAGCCGCAGCCAGCAATGCTGCACGAAACACTCCCGAGATACGCATGATCAGCAGTACACGTCTCTCTGGCTAAAGCTTGCGGGTCCTGCTGGGCTCGAGGGAAATTCGAGATTGATGGGGCGGCAACGTGGGCGGCTGCGAGCCAAGCCAAGCAGTGTGCACGGCAACTACGTCTCCGCGTCCTGAATGGGCCAATCAACGCGCGGTATGGGAACTGAATTCAGGGTATGTCGCGACGCAGGTCGCAGGCGATAGTCTAAGCACTACACTCGCATTGATACGGAGATCTGTTTGCGCAGGGTTTATGCCGATTGCAGGTCGCACTTAGAAGGGTTCGCGCCGTCCGGCATACAAACGCCAAGTGTTTTGGTGGTTAAGTCCTGCGGGGAGAGAGGGGCCGGGGAGAGGACAGCAAACGCGAATAGGGGTACAGGATGTGTACAACCGGACGCTGGCATCTTGGGCAGGTGGAACTTGTCCTCGGTCGCCTCGGGGATCTTGTTCGGGGCAAGCAACTATACCGGGCCAATCAATGCTGCCAACAGCAGACATCGAGCGGTATGGAACCATCGCGACAGACAAGCACTTATTCGCATGGGTTGCTGGTTAGCAAATGGCCTGGTATCCTTGACTTTCGATCAGATTGAGGTGCAGCACCGTTTGTGGACTGCATTCGCCGCGCAGGCAACCACACTTGACTGTTGCCAGACTTCTGAAGCTACGCTCTTGAAGCGTTAAACGTATTGGATCACCGCGAAATAACGCCCCATATCAAAGCTGCAAACATAGTAGCCAGGATACTCTTAGCGCGATTGCATTTGCTACTATTAAGAAAGAAATGGATGCTGCTGCTGCAATGTTTGCTCTGAGACCGAACGCGAAGATCTTTTGCTTCTGTAGCCGCGTTGCTAGCCAAGCTTCTACGCTGCACTGCAAACGGAGACCAGACTTCTACACACATGAGCGTGGTACATCAGATTGCCGCACCAGCACATTGTGATTCACAATGCTGCGATGCGTCAACGGTCACCCAATCAGCGCGCGCTGCGTGGCAAAAGCTCTCGTACTTAATCGAGGTCGCATGAAGCCATGATGCCGGCCAGGATGTGAAAGGCCGCACGCAGACCATGGCCAGAGCGGAAGATCTGCCGGAGAGCAACAGCGATGGCGAGAATAGCGACTCGCAAAGCGGCGACAGCGACGACACAGACAGCAATTACGACTCCAATAGCGACAGCGGTAGCAGTGATGGCGACGATAGCGATGAAGACAGTGAAGAGGATGACCAGAACGGCAATGACGCCGCCGCCAAGAAGCAACGCGTGCGTGCGGACATCGACGAGATGCGCCGCATGATGGCCGATATGGACGCCATCAAGACACGATTGCAGCACCGCTTGAGCACTGGGCGGCAGGCGAGAGCAGAGCGACTCGCGCGCGAAGAACGGGAGCGTGAGGCACAGGAAGTAGCCATCCGCATGGCTGACGAGGTGGCTCGCGGGCGACAGATTGAGGTGGCAGTTCAGACGGAGCCGATTGTCTCGCAACAGCAGATGAATGTGTCGCAGCAGAATGTGTGTCCACCACATATCGCCGACAGGACTGCTGTTGGTGCCGATGTTGAGACTGTTCCTGCGATTGATGGAGACACAGGGTTTGCTGACGCTGCTCCAAATAAAGCTATGCCAGCTGGGTTAAGTTTGTATGACCTGGTGAAGGCATCTGGCTTCGGCCTGTCGCTCAAACCGCCCTCCCCCGTTCGACGACTAGACTCACCGGAGGATTTACCACAACGCTCTTTCAACGAGCAGGGGCGTGCATCTCTATTGCAACGGCACCAGCAGGAAGATCCATCTGCTGAGCTAGACTGGAATGGCGGTGATTCGAGATTGGTTCATGACGAAGACAGTATTGTGAGTGGTGGTGATCATGACGACAATGACGGTGTCGGCGATGGGTATAGCGCTTCGTGGCAAGATGCCAGCCTAAACTCACCGCGCAACAACCCCGGGCAGTTCAAACATGAGCAGTCATTACCACCGTCGCGCCATCGCGACGAGAACGCGGCCTCTGTAAGCAACAGCCTCGTCTCCTCCGACGATGGCAACGGGTCCGTTATTTCTCCACACCTGATTCAACAACAAGACCACAAGTTCAACGCGGCCACCTTGCTCAGCACGATAAAGCATCCGCCGCCTTCCACCGCGAAGGACACTGGGGGCGACAAGACAGACGAGCAACGAGAGATGGAGGCGATTCAGTTCCTACTCTTCCGTCGTTGACTTGGTTATCGGTGGTACAGGTCACTTTTGGTGGCCTCTGATTGGCCAAGAAATCACGCAAACTTCAAAAACCTGTGATAATACATTCAAATGAGATTGTGTTTTGTGACCACGGCAAGAAATAAACGAATGCACCTGCGTATTCGCATACTGCGTCGTGATTCGACGAAAAACGGTGCGTGTCTCGCCCAGGAATTGGCGGCAGCGCTTTGTTCTTGCGAGTGCGTTCCGCAGAGCTGGCGCCACCATGGCCGAGTTTGTGGAGATGATCCTCGCCCAGGTGCGTCCTCGTGCTTACTACAGTGCTGTCCTCTGTCTACCGATGCGCGAAGTCGCGTCGTATGCATGGATTCGACAGTTTCTAACCCGCTCTCGCTGTATCTTGTATATTCTCCGCCGCTTTAGCTGATCGGCAACATCTCGACGGCGCTGATCCTCGTTCTCATTTATTTCAACTTTCTTCTGTTCGAGAACTACTTGCGGCTCATTGTGTGGGCTATCCTGTGCAGCCAGGCATTGCGCCAGGCCAAGAATAACGTCATCTCAGTGCTGCAATATCTAAGCGATGACACTGATGTAGAACGCTACGTACGAACAAGAGATGCATGGAATAAGTAGGGACAAAGTATGGGAGGCTGACAAATCTGTGGCTGTACTGGTATGACTGCAGGGCTTCCTGACGTGCGTGTTCTCCAAGTCGGCAGAGATCTTCATCAGTCATCCGCATGATGGCTCGCGTCGCACGGCCAAGGAGATATTTCTCAACTACGGCATCTTCCTTTTCTCGCTCATTGGTGCCGTGTCCATTTGGATGCGCATGTACTCATGGATGTCATTCCTGAATGTCATCATCGGCTTCTGGATCGCGGCACTGAGTCTTATCAAGATCCTAGATCGACGTATATTCTACTACCGCTACTTCTTTTCAGACGAAGTACTCGTATCAGTCCTGCTCATCCTCGGCTTCTTCATCACGGTAATATTTATCAGTTCAGAATGGTGCTAGTGATTATATATTGTTAATATTTTGTACTCACCTTTTGGTGATGTCAGGGCGCGTTCGTCATCCTCTTTCTCGGTTCCGAGAGCTATCTAGAAGGAAGTCGCGCTGCTACGGATTTGTCCGACTGGGTCCAAGTTAACTTTATTAATGACGAGCGTACACGACAAGTGTGGAGCGAGCAGGTAGAGAACAGCCGTGCTATGATCTCACAAGCCGTCAGCGGTGTCGAGGACAAGTACAACGATACAATGTGGTGGCCACCATTGAAAGGTTTGGTGAAGACGTATTACCTGGACGCCAAGTCTAGTGACGGGAATGTTACAACGCATACGTCGCTCTTCTCCAGATTGCGCCTTCCCGAAAACATGACACTGGTACAAGCGGTGTCTTTCGCGTATGCAAAGGTGGATTCAGTGAACTTAACGTCGGTGCAACTCACCGACTGGACGTCCAAGGGGCTAGAAGTTAGCAGCATTGCCGTGGGGTCTGTGGCACAATTGGTGTTCCTAGTCTTCACGCTGGTGATTGCGTTTGTGAGTCTCGGGATCCGATCGTTTTTCTTCATTTCGTCGCTATTTTATCTGCTGTGCACAAATTGGGATCCGATCGAGAGGTTTGTCGAAGATCTACTACCCATTCAAGTCGATAAACGACCAGACGTCGTCAGATCTCTCCGTAAGGTGATCGAGGGCGTCTTCTTTTTGCCACTGAAGATGGCAAGTATTCACGCGATTGTGACAATGGTCTCGTTCACAATTGTGGTACGTATACCCCCAAATTGTGTGCCCTGCGATCATTTCTCGTACTTACTGGATATCGCTTCCTTTTCCGTGAATGTTGTGTAGAATGCTGACTTCATGTATCTCGCGACGACAGTCACTTTCTTCATCTCGATCGTGCCGATAATTCCTCCGTATTTGGTATGCGTCCCATGGGTCATCTCGATCGGACTGACGTCTTCCATCGTGAAGGCGCTTGCTCTCTTTGCGGTTCAGTACGTGGCTTTCACAGTGCTGGATGAGATGCTCTATGAAAAGAGTATCGTGGCACTGAATGCCTACGTGTCCGCCTTGAGTGTGGTCTTCGGCGTCTATGTCTTCGGGTTTGAGGTGAGTTGAGCGGATCCAAATGCTCATGACCATGTAGCTGGTGTTGATCTTTGTTCATGCTTATCATAGGGTGTCATTTTCGGCCCGTTGATCGTGTGTGGAGTGACATTTGCATACGATGTGTCGAACCACGGTATTCAAGCTGCGCAAGACGAGTACGGCAAATCTGATGACGCAAGACAAGACTCTCTATTGGACGGAAGCGATGCAGAAGGATCGCATAGTACTGCCTCCTCACTTGACGGGTACGAACGCGAAAAAGAGAAAATTTCCAACAACCAATCGGAGGACGAAGAGATTGACCAGGGTACCAACATTTTCTCGAATGCGATGTACCGAGTAATCTCGGGTCCACTGGTGGATCGAGTGCGTCGTCGTCTTTCAATTGACATCGCCACAGAAGGATCCGTTTGCGTGACCTTTGTCATTGAAGGCTTGAGAAACACTCGAAAAGTCCGCTTCGTGGTGAACAAATCATGGTCTCAGAAAACTCTTTACGATAATATCCGCCGTATGCTCCACGTCCAGAGCATCGAATGTAAGTATCTTGTTGTATGCGTTGTGACGAATACTTTTGGATTAACTTTTGATGCGTTGCCATTTGTTCAGATATCTGTACCGCGGACGGAGTAGAAGTGTTGTCTCCACTCCACATTATGGCCGATGAAGTGCTGTATGTGAAGGTCCGATCAAAACACCGCTTGCACCTGTATTCAGACTCCTACTCGGACTCACCGGCACGAGTCCCCTTCCCGGTTCGCAGCATTCGAACAAGCATTACCTCCCTTTCAGGTAATCACGATAAATCTCCCCGGAAAAACACTGGATCTTCACCTCCTAGTGCAAAGCTGAAACGAACGGGATCGTTAAGCCCTACAGTCGGGGTCGCACACGGCGCCACCGCGGCTCAACGTCAGGTTCACGAAATGTTGCAGCGCAAGAGTGGAGGAACGACAATTCAATATGAAGGGGGTGTAAAGAGGAGAGGAAGTTACAGCGGTGTTACTGGGAGCTCCGTTCACCATCCAATCGTTCCAAGATCGATCAGTAACTCGTCTGCACGAGTTTCACAGCCAGTCCCGAGCCCATTGGCTGTCAAAGGTTTAGCTTCATCGACATCTTCGTTAGCGCAAGACTACGAGTTTTTGTCACTCAACGAAAGCTACCACACTTCAGGCAAAGAGAAAACACCTTCAAATGACGGTGAAGAGGGCGCAACCAATGCGGATGCTAGCACGGACGCGAGTAGCACGCTGGATGTGCCATCTCCCACCAGCGTGAAGAAAGGAAAACCGAAGCTGAACTTCGTGGACTTGAGCGACTCAGGAAGCTTTTCGACATCGCCAGTATCATGCGATGCCCGAGATTCCTTCGGTGGCCAGGATGATGACAACAAAGCAGGGGAAGAAAGAAACGAACCTACAACCACAGGCGAGAGCGAAGCAACTGAAGCAGCAACAGAAGTCAAGCCGATGGCGAAAGCGAAGCGCAAGGTTTCGTTGAAGGCACGTCAAGCCGCTGAGCTGATCTTTTCGCCACTTGCAGTCGACCCGAAGAAGGTGAAAGAAAGAAGCTACTCGTCATCAGAAGAGAGTGGCGATGAAGACAAAGCGCAGGATAAATGAGAAGAAATACCGTCGACCACTGGGATGCATGCATGATTTTAAATCCAAATAAATGTTCGAGACGTGACAACTACTAAGTATTCCCAGAGAGCACGTGTTCATTCCATCAGGTTCGCTAGTCGTTGCTTCTTTTTCTTGAGGACAGCGATCTCTTCTTCGATCTCGCTGACAATCTCTGGAGTTTTCTCCGCTGCCTGCTCGCGGTATAGTGCCCGCAGACGATCACACACAAACGTCCAGGCTTCCATGTCCATGCGCTGTTTCTCACACGCGGTTCGCTCTTTTTCCCATGCTGCCTGCTCAGCCTCCCGTTGCTCGCGTTGACGCAGAAGTTCCAGCTCTCGACTCGCAATTTCATTGCGCACGTCAGCATCCAGCTGCAAGATCGCAGATGTATCTTGTTTCCTTCGTTTTACCACAGGCTCGGCAGGTGATGACCATGCTGCGGCATCAGCAGCCACATTTTGTCGGCCGTGGTTTTCGTCGGTGCGCGGCAAAAGACGACGACGCTCTTCACGGCTTTCTGAGGGGTTTACTTCAGGTTTGTGCGTGTAGGAGGCATAAGACCCGCTCTCGGGGTATGAGCGCTTCCCCTGACTTCCTTGCATATCAATCTCCCTTTGGATGGCACGGGCTTCGAGGACTATGTCGGACGCAGGCTTTTCGGACTCCTGTTTCCAGTTAACAAGCTGTCTAAACTTGATCTTGATCCCTGTTGCGTTCCTCTGTGAACGCGTATTGGGAATGGCGTGATTCACGCGGTACAACTGCAACACTTGTTCCCAACCAGTCGGTCCCGATGGTAAAATCTCCTTGACACATGAAAGCAGAGCCTTCGTGTCTGAAGGAGAGTATCCTTCCGATCCCAGCGTTCTTCCACCACGCCGAGGCGCTGCAATCGGCGTTTTATCCCCGCCTTCGCTGCTCGTAGCTTTCTCCTGTCCGCTTACCTCTTCCACTCCATTGATCTCACTATCGCTCCCACTCTTGTCTTCGACAGCTTCAGCTATTCTGCTCGCTATCTCTTCCTTGTCATGTTCCAGCGATGCGTAGTCCTTTGCAACCTTTTTCAACCTTGCATCAATCTCCTCTTGAATAGCCAGAGCCTCCGTCACCTCCGCTCGTGGCATATTCGTCGTGTCTTCCTTGAGCCAGTTACGGAACTTGTTTTTGAGCGATGAGCCGTCCCTGTTGAGCCTCTCGTTCGGCTCAGCGTACTCTCTGCAGTACTCCTCTGCAACTTGCTCCCAGTCTGACCTCTGTACTGGCAAGAATCGTCGTACAATACTGAGAATGGCTTGTGAATCTGCAGAAGAGAAGCCCTCGGCGCCCCTCGCTCTGCCTCCTCGTCGCTGGAGGATCTTGCCGTCCGTCATTTTTGCTTCGATCAGGTCCAGAATGGCTCCAGCCTCCTCCACATCTGGGCGCGCGTCTACACCGGACTTAAAGCTCCGCGCCAACTGCTTATATTTGGACTTTAGAGAGCTGGTATCGCGTTGCGCTCGAGTGTTGGGGATAGCGTGCATCTGTCGGTACTCGTCCAGTACTTGTTCCCATTCCTTGGTGGTTGTTGGCAGCACGGCTTTCACACATTTAAGCAATGCCGAAATGTCCTCTTTGTGATAACCCTCAGCCCCGCGCACACGTCCGCCGCGACGTTGCGGAAGATACTCAGAGTGCTCGTTAGTGCTCATTCTGATGAGCTTCTTTCTCCCCTTCTTAAAATTTGCTTCTAGATTTCAAACTATTTTTTTTAGTACGATACAAAAATAGATTTTGCACTTCTGATCCAGATTTTGCACTTCTGATCCACACAAAAATAGTATTTGCATTTCTGGTCGACACAAACTGTTATCCGGATGGTGCTGCACAGGTACGAAGATCTGGAGGACGAGGCGGTTGCTATGGAGGCATTGGGCGCCAACCAGGAGCTGGCACGACGTCGCCATGAGCTATTGAATGACCCGGTCATGGTTGTGACGTCTGAGTGTGGACTGAGGAGCGTCCACGTTTTGGCTGAAGAGATGGCGTTCGTGATGCCGGCAGAGCATCATGTGGACCTGGTGGCCTCAGACGACGCGACCACTTGCTCCATCGTGCTGCTAATAAGCGATGATGTCGTGGCAGTGGCTCACTTAGACTCGAAAGAGCAAATGGTGTTCTTTTTGAAGAAATGGGAGAGTGTGGTGAATTCTGCGGTGACGCGAGTTGCCATTGCCGGTGGATACGACGACGAACGGGAGATCGCTCGTCCGATTTCAATTGATATTTTGCGGGCTCTCATGAGTAGTAAAGCGGCGTACGATGTGCAGCAAATTATAACAGGGAGATGGAACACTGCAGATACTGGCAATGGGGAAATGTTGCCGCGTACGAGAGGAGTCGGCTACTTTCCTGCAGAAGACATCTATCGATGTGTAGAATTCGAGCCTGATGCCCGGCTGCCTTTAGTACCCTTGAGATTCGCTGGAGTGTCCCCGCACCCACTTCACACGCTAATGTGTTGTCTGGAGAAGGACAAACCTCTAGAGATTACCGTAGGGCCATATTACGCCACACTACTTTCACCGGAGGTCTGTCCCTACATGCTAGATTTAGACGATGGCGAGTTGTTGCAAAGGATTTCTACGTCACCATTTGCTGAAGGTCCCAAGTTTCTTCAAGACATGAGAGATATGCTCGAGTTCATTAGCAATTGCTCACTTCGAAGTTTGGGCAATACTTTCGTGCTGACGCTGCCTGCAAGACGGCAAGATACCATTGACTCAAAAAATATTTATAGTGATCAAACTGGGGTATGAACCGTTGCCCTGCTATATATCGGCTAAATGACGATGGAGCCAAGCTTCGTTGCGAATCCATATGTCCAGGCGTCGGCACCGACAAGCCGTACGATTCGAGAAATACTGGACCGCGAGGAGGCCTCGTACGAGGCATGGCGAAAGACACGTAAACCTGTTCGGCTACCTCACGCCAGCTTGAAACTCAACAGCCCACTAAAAACCGTTTCTCGTGATGATTCCAATCAGACGAAGTTTAATAAGGCAATGCGAGATGCATTTAAAACCCCACAAGCGGGATCTGATGGTGTATCTCGATCCCAGTCGGTTGCCGCAGTGACCTCGAAGAATGTCAAACGCAAGGATGCATTGATCACCGGAGGATTCACACGATCAGCTGAAATGCTCCCAAGTCTGGGTATTGATCAAGATACTCGTCAGAAGCAAGAGCAGTTTAGCCAAGCGATTGCTCAACCAAGGAAGACGTCCGATAGCACAACTATCCCTAGCATTGCGCCACGTAAGGCAACGCGAAGGAAATTTCAGCAGTACCTGTACGATTTTCATTCTCGACAAGTCTTCTCTTTCGCGAAAAACGAGATTGAAGAATTTGAAGATGTAATGAAATGTGAAAAGGCTCAAAAACTTGTAGCGTGTAGCGCTGGAGAAGACGAAGACGATGAAGTCAGCGAAGATATGAGCAGCGAAGGTAACTCTCTGCCTGGATGGGGCAACCCCTCTGAGAATTATACTCGACAGTTGATGAACGAACACCACAGTGAGTACTTGCTCACTGGTCTGGGCTTCTTGTCGGGACCTGGCTACGACGAACTTTTCTCAATCCACTGGAAGCTAGGCGAAGCAGAGAAAACTGTGCGCGATGCTGTGGATCGAAAACGAATCCGTGAGATTTTGAGAAAAGCCTACCGCATGTTGCTTTGGTTCTTTCGTTACTACGCTGGCAATGCTGCTTATGCTGTTGCATCTGAGCGGCGCACTGGACCCGGATTGGTGGTAACTTTGGGAGATGGCTTGTTTGAAATACCAAGTCGAGTCCGTTTGCTTGAGGACTTGAATGTACAATGCGTTGATGAGGCAAGATTCGGTGTTACAGATTCTCCCCTGAAGCGGGAGCACTTGATTGATTTTCTGATTAACGTTGCCAAAATGATGTGTACGCATTCGTCGAATCCTACCCGCTTGAAAATGGCCATCAGCGACGGCGTCGAAATGTCCGAAGCAGTGAAAACACTCGTCCACGAGCACTTTGGTGTGTTTGCACAAATTCAAGATGTGGATCACTTTCGAACCATTTTTCTTCGCAAACCTCAGAATACTAATGACCGTGGTGTCCGTAGAAGACTTTGTGCTATTCTAGAGACACACAAGAACAACCTGACCAACTTCTTTAATGAATTAGTCAGCGCCGGAGTTATTGCGCGTAGTGGTGGCAACGACAGGACCAAGAGTCAACAGCGGCAGCGAGGCAGTGGAAGTGGTATTGCGTGTACGCAGTTCCTTTCCACTCTGCGATCTATCAACCTAATCACGTCGAGAGGTGTCATCACTGATGCAAACATTAACCCAAATGCTGACGATGAGGTGTCTGGGGGAGGCCCTTCCGGGGTTGATGAAGTTCGGGCTGTGCGCATTTTTCTTTCTTGTCTTCCCATGGCAACATTCGACAGCAACGAGTGTGAGGGTGCAAGTAGAACTGCCATTACTGCATCCACGAGTACTGAACCCCGTGAACTGACGCTGTCTCAATTCATCGAGGCACTACTTCGAGTGGCGTTCACGTGGAAGGAGCTTCAGATTTGTCATGGACGGTTTGACGTGTGCTCCAATCAAATGGCGTCGGATCGTTGCCGATGCAACATCGACCTAGCTCAGTACGCGTTCGATGTCTTTGATAATGCCGCTGAAGAGGTTTTCACACGTATCCATGGCTACCGACTCAAGCGGGCTCAACAGCGAACAAACATGAGGATGCACATGAAGACGCACATCTCCCTGCACGCGGTTGTAGCATTGACAGCCGTCCAGAGAGCCCCCAATCGCTTGCTACCGATCGAAGAAAAGTAAACGAACGATACTGTGGTCGTAAATGGACCAGCCCAACAACCGTCACTATTTTTACATATTTCGAAGTACATTTTATTATTTCAATTTCTGGGTTCAAGCGTCGTTAGCATCGTGAATCCATACGCAAAGACACCGCACTGCAAGCGATATCTAAGTCATGCCTGCAACACCGAAGTTTGAAATTCCCGATGTGGATACAAACCCCTTTAAGATGGCTGCTGTCGGTAATCTTCAACTGCTGAAAACCCTTGTGGAACCGCAAGAGAACGCTGATGGTAAGACACCTGCTCCACTGAACTTGAATGCGAAGGATCCCTATGGATGCACGCCGCTAGTTTGGGCTGCTCGGAACGGGTACCTCGAAGTTGTGGACTACCTGGCAGAGCATGGTGCCGACCTTGAAGTCACCAGCTTTGGCGATCTTCGCCCTTTGCATCATGCTGTTAACCACTCGCGGTTGCCAATCGTCGAACGTCTGATCCAGCTCGGCGTCACTATCGAGCCGAAGGACGATGCTGGCAATACACCGCTCCACTTCGCTGCCGCTCGTGGTATCCTGAACCCGGTTTTGTTACTTCTGAACGCTGGCGCTAAGGTGAATGTCACTACGGCACAAGAAGTTTCTCCTCTCATGAAGGCCGTGTCGGCCGGTCATATTTCCGTCGTCGAGAAGCTTCTGGACAACGAGGCGAACCCCAACCACGCCAACGTCGAAGGCAACACGGCACTCCACCTCGCAGCTCGAGGAGGTTTTAACTCAATCGTAAAAGTGCTACTGGATGCAGGTGCCACCCCAACGCTGCGCAACAAAGCTGGCAAGATGCCCGCAGAGCTCGCGTCATCCCCCAGCATCGTCAAGATGCTGGTATAGCTAAAAGAAAAAAAAAAGATGAATTGATATCAAAGAACAATTTCTTTCATATGACTGCAACTTGACCGTGCAAGCAAGTTGCGTCTACTCAATTTTTGTACATGTACCCATTTTTCCAAATGATCCTATTATTTGTAACGGCTGGCCACCTCCCCCAGCTCATTGCTGCAATCGCAAAGTACCCACAACAACGATGGCGGCGCCGCTGGGTCTCGAGACCAAGGCCCAACGGGGTATTTTCGTCACATACATGGGGCTATGGGTGACCTATGGGCTGCTGAACGAGCTGGCCAAGCGCGAGAGTGTGCGCTTCAACTCAGCCTGCGCCGTCGTGATACAATCGCTGCTCAAACTTGTGCTCGCCAGCTACATGTACCTGACATCGGACACTCAAGCGACGGAGCCGCTGGCCACGCGTATCCGTTTCATGCTGGCCCAAGCGCAGGAGTATCGCAGCCTGCTCCTGCTCTACTTTATCCCGTCGGGGCTCTACGTCGTCTACGACGTGCTGTCCTACATCAACCTGCGTGCATTCGATGCTGCCACCTACTTCCTGTTACTCCAGTTCCGGCTTGTGGTCACAGGGGTTCTGCACCAAATGATGTTCTCCAAGAGACTCAACCGCAACCAATGGGTATCTCTGGGCGTTACGACGGTGGGGTGCGCTATCAAGACACTTGGCTCGCAGGACCCCAATGGTTCTGCCAAGTCGGGCGTCCACAGCAACGCGCCGACACTTATGGCCTATGGCCTGCTGCTGGTGCAAATGCTCAGTAGCACTTTCGCCGGCGTATATAATGAAGTTCTTCTCAAGAAGCAAACTGCAATCCCAGTGAACCTACAGAACGTATTCATGTACATCGACTCCATCATCTGCACGATGGGGATGCTTGCTCTGGGACTGACCGGTCAGACGGCTCAGGAAGCTCTCACGATTGCCAACTTCAGCGTGCTGTTGTCACCCTATGTGCTGCCAATGGTTCTTATTATGTCGTTCATTGGTGTGGTAACGAGTCTCTTTCTTAAGCAGCTGGACTCGATTCGCAAGGCCATCGCCAGTGCTCTGGAGCTGGTCTTCCTACCTCTACTGAGTGCTGTGCTTTTCGGTCAGCCCATCACTCTCTACACGGTGGCTGCGGTTTGCTTCGTGGGTTTTGGAGTCTACATCTACTCGCTGCCGGTAGAGACTACAGGGCTACCCCAGTACACCAAGGTGGCGTCGGGCGAGCAGGCTCAAGACGAGAGCGACAGCGTAGACACAGCCGTCGCTGTCAACGAATCTAGCTCTACCAGTAAGTCTGCTTAGATACTTTAATTGCATATGATTTTTAGTCTCGTTTTTTCCGTCTGGGCATGTACTCGTAGAAAAAAGTAGGCAGCTTCTGGTAGATGGAAAACTCGTCCGCGACGTCGTGCACTTTGACGTCTGGTACAGCAAACAAATGAGCAAAATATTATCACAGACGAAAAGTATGATTGATAACCCACCACTGCTGTTTTGCCCTTGAGCCGTGGTACCCATGGGCGACGTGTAGAGCTCCCCGATTTCCTTGCCGTAGCGGTCCCAGAGCACCATGATGAGGAACAGCAAGAAGAGGAAGAGCACCACCAGGCCGCTCAGGATCTTGAGCTCCAGAGGGATATTTAGACTGGCAGAAGCTCCAAGTAACTCCTTAACATGTCCAGGGAGCTCCGCGTGCACACGGGAGGTAGCCGCCGCTGCATTCGCTGTGGGCGCCCCAACTTCCATCGCAGGCATCTCGTCCTATTTTGTGGGTTAAATTATGAAAGTCTATGGGTTGAAATAGTCCGTGTCATATTTTTTTCGTCCAGGTTGAAGAGAACTGCAGCAACTTAGGTCTGCGTTTTGCCATAGAACATCTTGCCCGGGTTCATGATGTCTTTCGGGTCTAGTGCCTTCTTAATGGTGTGCATCACATTCACACTGTCACGGTGTTCCACGGACAAGTACTTCATCTTTCCGAGGCCCACGCCATGCTCGCCTGTGCAGGTTCCTTCGTAGGCCAACGCGCGCTCCACCAGGCGGTTCGAGAAGCTCTTCACCCTGGTCATTAGCTCTGGTTTGTCCTGATCAAACGGGATCATAACATGGAAATTACCGTCGCCGACGTGTCCGACGATAGCCCCAAATAATCCGGTCTCTTTGAGATCAGCTTGCGTCTCGACAATGACATCCGCTAGCTTCGACGGTGGCACTGCGACATCGGTGACAAGTCCACGGCTTCCTGGCATTTGGCTCTATTATACAATATAGATGCTGCGAATTAGTACCATCTTCGAACATACGCAATAAAGCAGGCCATGACATACCAACGTAGCCCACCAAGCCGTGTGACGTCCACTCCAGAGCTTCTTGCGCTCCTCAGCACTCGTGGCTAGTTCAATATCCTTCGCTTCAAAGTCATTGGCAATCTCCACTACAATAGCACTCTGTTCTTCCACTTCACCAGGAGAACCATGATGCTCGATGATCAGAGATGGACGAACAGGGTTGTCCAGCTTCGAGTACTTGTTGATTGCCTCTACCGCATTCTCGTCCATCAGTTCCATCCGTGCCACTGGAATGCCCATTTGCGTGACTGTTGCACACGTATCCACGGCATCTTTCATCGTGTTGAATGAACAGATCATCGTCTTCTCCGCCTCTGGGTTGCCAAAGAGACGCAGTTCGGCCTGAATGCCATACGTAAAGGGTTAGAGTTGCTCCTTTAAATGCACGATCGACCAACATTTACCTCGGTAACAACAGCGAGGGTGCCTTCCGAACCGATGATCAACCGTGTGAGGTCGTACCCCGCCGAGGATTTCCGTGTCTTTGATCCGGTCTTGATGATCCTTCCATCAGCCATGACAGCAGTGAGAGCCATCACATTCGTCTTCATGTTACCATATCTACAATCGACAGATCAGTTACAGCTACAGCGAGCACCAGCAAAGTGGTGTAGCTCGTACCGAACGGTGGTCGTGCCAGACGCATTGGTGTTGATCATGCCTCCGATACTTGCGTTAGCACCTGGATCCACTGGGAAAAACAAGCCCGTGGCTCGCAGATCCGTGTTCAGTAGCTCTCGCGTGACACCGGCTTGCACTCTACAGCTCATGTTTCCCGGTTCCACCTAGACAGCAACAACAGTAAAAATTAGTGATGAACATCCTCTTTGGTTGGTGTACTGGCAGCTTCCCCACCTTGAGGATCTTGTTCATCCCAGTCAAGTCAATGGAGACACCTCCGTATGTAGCGGAAATATGTCCCTCGAGAGACGTTCCAGCGCCAAAAGGGATGACAGGAGTGCCAGCAGCGGCACAAATCTTGATCACGTCCGAGACCTCTTCCGTCGACTCCACGAAAGCGACAGCATCCGGGGGTGCGACCTTGTGATACGACTCGTCAGTGCCATGTTGCTGGATGTCAATCACACCAGCACACGCGTTAGTTCGTGCTACATGCCATCAACGATAGCTTGAAAATATTCACCTCGAGCACGGAGCGAGATGTAGACAGACGATCTCCCAGCAGCTCCTTCAACGCAGAAATAGTCTCAGGTGACGCGGTGCGCCGTGTGCTCAGGAACCGAATCGGAGCGGCGGATGCACGAAGAGGGAGGCGGGAAGCAACGGAGGTTAGTTGGCGCCACATTGCGACGTCGAGTTCCGAACGCTGAAAGGCAAATGAAGGTATCGTACTTACCGTGATAGTGATCCGTATACCTAACACAACTTGAAGCTCATGACTTGTTCAGGTGGAGGAATGGGGCCTGCCACGGGGGTGAAATGGTTATCAAAATGATCAAGGTGATGAAAGTACATACATGAATCAAAAATGACACTGACGATCGTTCATATAGTCTTAGTTCGTCCCATTACGACGCGCTAGTTGCTGCGATCATTCGCATAGAAAATCTTGCCAGGGTTCATGATGTCTTGAGGGTCCAAGGCCTTTTTGATTGTGTACATGAAGTCAACGGCCCCGCCGTGCTCCATCGGTAAGTACTCCATTTTGCCGATGCCAATGCCGTGCTCACCCGTGCAAGTCCCACCGCAAGCCAACGCTCGTTTCACCAAACGATGCGAAAACGCTTTCATTCTGCCGAGATGTTCTTTGTTGTCGTCGGTAAATGGAATCAAAACATGGAAATTCCCGTCACCAACGTGTCTGTATGCAGCAGTTCGAACAACGTGAGAACAACTACTAATTACTTGGACATTTGCAGAAGATTTACCCGACAATGGTTCCAAAGAGACCCGAGGTTTTCAAGTCCTGTTGCGTCTCAACGACAGCTTCAGTAAGCTTAGAGAACGGCACCGCCACGTCAGCAGAGAAGCCACGGCTCCCAGGAACCTGGTTCTGAATAAAATAGCAGTTAGATCGAATCTTCCGCTGCTTTTCAAGGATCACACGTACCAGAACCGCGTGCCAGACAGAGTGTCTGCCACTCCATAGACGTTTACGATCTTCAGAAGTTGAGGCTACTTCAATATCCATTGCGCCGAAGTCTCGAGCGATCTCTTGGACAACACTGCTCTGTTGCTCCAGTTCGTTCGCTGATCCGTGATGTTCAATGATCAGTGAAGGACGTAGTGAGTTATTCAGGTTCGAGTACCTGTTCACCGCGTCCACGACATTCTCGTCCATCATCTCCATGCGAGCCACAGGAATTCCCATCTGCATGACAGTAGTGCATGTATCGATAGCGTCCTTCATCTTGTCAAACGAGCAGATCATAGCTTTTTCGGCTTCGGGGACACCACTCAGTCGAAGTTCCACCTGCACATGCAAGTGATGATCGTGAAGCACACGAAACGGAAGCAAACCGAGCATACAGTTGCGAACCTCAGTCACTACAGCCAAGGTGCCTTCACTGCCGATTAAAAGTCGTGTGATGTCATATCCAGCTGAAGATTTCCGTGCTCTGTACACAGCAAAATCACAATTGATGACTAAGTTGGTCTCGGGTAGCACCTCCATGTACAGCACGCACTTCGATCCGGTCTTGATGATGCGTCCATCGGCCATGACTGCAGTCAAAGACAGCGCGTTCGTCTTCATGTTACCATACCTACAGCCACGAACACTAAGAATTTAGACCCTTGCATTTGTCTCCCATATTGATCGGAGAACTAACTTGACCGTCGTAGTTCCAGAGGCGTTGGTTGCAACCATCCCGCCAATTGTAGCATTGGCCCCAGGATCCACAGGAAACATGAGACCTGTAGCACGCAGGTCGGCATTCAGCTGTTCTCGAGTGACGCCCGCTTCCACCTTGACGCTCATGTTCTCCCGGTCAAGCTGTACACATACGTTAGCTTTTTGCTAAAACTGTTACTTTCACCGCACCTTGAGAATCCCATTCATCCCCGACAAATTGACCGATACGCCACCAGCAACAGCTGAAATATGCCCCTCGATCGATGTGCCAGCACCAAACGGGATAATCGGAGTGCGGGTCGCTGCACAAATCTTGATCACCTCCGTCACCTCTTCGGTGGACTCCACAAACGCGACGGCGTCCGGAGGAGTAACATCATGGTAGGATTCATCTGTACCGTGTTGCTACAGGCCAAAAAGCAGCCACGCATGTTAGTATACTTAAGTAGCTCACATTGCACGTGGGGAACCACTCACCTCGAGCACAGAGCGAGATGTCGACAGACGATCTCCCAGTAGCTCCTTCAACGCGGAGATAGTCTCAGCCGACGCAGTGCGGCGTGTGATCTGCTGGCGACTGCCCACTGACCCCCATCGCCGTAGAGACACCAACGACGTTCTTGCCACCGGAATGAGACGACACCGCATAGCGTGAGATTGGGAGAATGATGCGTTGAAGCTCTCGTTTCTCAGAAGATGCTTTGCGCAAACGTGACACGGTGGTTTGTCAACAAAAGGAAATGGTTGCATCAAAGGCTGCTGCCGCCACCACGCGATTTAACATTATTTGCTCAGGATGGAAGAGCTCCAGCACTCTAATTACTAGTCAATGCGCGATGCACCATCGCATCTCAGCACCTCACCTATCCAGCTAACTTAGTGCTTCGCGTCGCCGTAGAAAATCTTACCGGGGTTCATGATGTTCTGGGGGTCCAACGCCTTCTTAATCGTATGCATCACGTCCACACTGTCGCCGTGCTCCTTCGATAGGTAGCCCATCTTGCCATTGCCGATACCGTGCTCGCCGGTGCACGTTCCCTCGTACTCAATCGCGCGGTTTACGAGACGATCGGAGAAGTCGCGCACCTTCTGCATGAGCTCGGCGTCGTCCTGAAAGAACGGTAGCATAACGTGGAAGTTGCCATCACCGACGTGGCCGACGATAGTTCCGAACAAGCCGGATTCTTTCAGGTCGGCCTGAGTCTCAACGATAACGTCCGTCAGACGAGAGAACGGCACGGCAACATCCGTGGACAGACCGCGGCTGCCAGGCATCTGGCTCATCGTAGCATACCACGCAGCATGACGGCCACTCCAGAGCTTCTTGCGCTCCTCAGGGCTCGTAGCAAGTTCAATATCCTTTGCTTCGAAGTCGTTGGCAATCTCCACCACAACGGCGCTCTGTTCCTCCACCTCGCCAGGCGAACCGTGGTGTTCAATTAGCAGCGACGGCCGCACCGGGGTCTCAAGCTTCGAGTACTTGTTAATAGCCTCCACGGCGTTCTCGTCCATCAGCTCCATGCGAGCGACAGGAATCCCCATCTGCATGACCGCCGCGCATGTGTCAACAGCGTTCTGGATCGAGTCAAACTGACAGATCATCGTCTTCTCAGCCTCGGGGATACCGAATAGACGAAGTTCAGCCTCCGTGACAATGCCGAGTGTGCCCTCTGAACCGATAAGTAGACGGGTGAGGTCGTAACCCGCTGAAGACTTGCGGGTCTTGGAGCCCGTCTTGATGATGCGTCCGTCGGCCATGACTGCCGTCAAGGACATGACATTGGTCTTCATGTTGCCGTAGCGCACCGTGGTGGTGCCTGAGGCGTTGGTGGAGATCATTCCCCCGAGAGTGGCGTTGGCACCGGGGTCCACAGGGAACATGAGGCCAGTGGCACGGAGATCCACGTTAAGCTGCTCTCGGGTGACACCAGCCTGGATCTTGCAACTCATGTTCTCAGGTTCAACGCTCAGAATGTTGTTCATGCCCGTGAGGTCAATGGAAACACCACCCTCAGTGGCGGAAATGTGACCCTCAAGTGAAGAGCCGGCACCGAAGGGAATCACCGGCGTGCCAGCGGCTGCGCAGATCTTGACGACCTCGGCTACTTCTTCCGTAGACTCCACGAAGGCGACGGCGTCAGGCGGAGCAACCGCGTGGTAGGACTCGTCTGTTCCGTGTTGCTGCAAAAGTATAACAACAAGTTAGACTGGTAAGTGCCAGCTGCACGCGAAAGTATAGATAAGTGGACGCACCTCCAGAACGGACGATGAGGTCGAGAGACGGTCGCCTAGCAGTGCCTTGAGCGCTGATAGCGTCTCCGCTGAAGGCACGCGACGTGTGCTCATGAAGCGACCCTGCTGGGTCAGTATGAGGGATGAGCGCGCAGCGCTGAGGCGCGCGGAATTGGCAACGAGACGGCTCCACATCTAGCTACGACAGGGTCAATTGAAGAATGAGCCCGGTATCCGATGACGCACCCTTTGATTCCCAGGCAGAAACCTCCTTTTATGTGACAACAGGATCGAGCAACATAAGTGCACAAAACTGTGAGACTAAATGCGTTTATACAGGTAATTTGCGATCGTAGGACGGATGTCATGACATACGAAATCAAGACAATGTAATATTGTCACGAAAGAATACGGAATCACCCTTCCCTCAGGAAAGAAATTTGATAAAAAGAAACGCGGCTTAAGTTGCTGATACTTGGCCCGCAATCAGGAAACTCTTACTATTGGGTGGAGGTTTCTCCAATAGAGAAATCTCCATAGAGCGCTGTTCGCAGCGTGTAGCTGGCCATTGATGACTAGCTCAATTCCAAGGATGGCTCTACAGTATTCAGGTCAGGGTTTTACCAAGTACACGGTGTAGACGTACTCGCCAATAAATGCTCATCCGCTCTTATTGCGCAATTGGACGCTACCCCGATCGACTCGATCATCTAGGTCCACCATTTTGTTGGGTATGCGCTGCAAGGTGCGGCTGTCGCACGCCGACTCTGTCCGTGCTCAGACACTGTCGAGCCTCGAACCCAATTGCAAGTTGCAACTTGCAACGTCCCGTGAATTCTACCGGCGGTGGTGCTTGCAGTCCACCTCTGCAAGTTGCTCTTTGTTATATTGCGCTTCAACTGGATCAGTTGAAGCAATGACATTAACGGACGGTGGCATTAGTCATTTCGAATACCGTCGAAACATGTTCTGTGACGTTGGTAAAACACTATTTCCTACCGACTGATGTAGCACACATAATCTATCTATTAACTGACGTCCGACCTCATTTTGACATCCGAGTTTGTGGCTGAAACCAGACAAGATGATGCGATCGACTCTACAGCTAGTTGTTCGCCGCGCGGGCACCTCGGCTTCGTCCAGTGGACGCCGGGTCGTGCAGCGCACCGCAGTGCTGCGTAGCACCGCTTCAAGCTCGCGTCTTGTGCAGCGCAGCGCCAAGTTCGCTCCGTCCGTCCAGCACGTCAGCGCCTGCTTTAGCACCAGCGCTGTGGACGACAAGGGTGCGTAATATTGTTTCCATATTGCGGCACAATTCTCAAAGTGAGTGGCATTTATTGCAACTTATTGACTGATACTGTGCTTCATTGCCGTAGCGGACCGCCACGAGTTTCAGGCCGAGACGCGCCAGCTTCTGGATATTGTGACACATTCCATCTACACGGACAAGGAAGTCTTTATCCGTGAGCTCATCTCTAATGCTTCCGATGCACTGGAGAAGCTGCGCCACTTGCAGTCGACTGGAGAGTCTATCCAGGACGCCGAACTTGAGCCCAAGATCGTGATCACCACGGACGAGAAGGCCGGCACACTGACTATTGCGGATACCGGTGTGGGTATGTCGAAGGACGAGCTGATTGAGAACCTGGGTACGATTGCACGCTCAGGCTCGAAGGCGTTCCTGGAGCAACTGAAGGAGAGCTCTCCTGGTGAGTCCGGCGATGCGCTGAGCGGCATTATCGGTAAGTTCGGTGTGGGCTTCTACTCCGCATTCATGGTTGCCGACAAGGTGGAGGTGTACTCGCAGTCGGCGGTCTCTGGTCGTCAGAGCCACGTGTGGCGCTCAGATGGTAGCGGATCTTACGAGGTTGGTGAGGCCAACGACGTGACGCGCGGCAGCAAGATTGTGATCCATCTGAAGGACTCGTGCAAGGAGTTCGGCACTAAAGCCAAGGTGGAGTCCATCATCCGCCGCTACTCGAACTTCGTGTCGTTCCCGATTGTTCTGGATGGCGACACGGTGAACACGGTGCAGGCTCTTTGGACCAAGAGCGAGAGCGAGGTCACGGACGAGGAATACACCGAGTTCTATAAGTTCATCGCCAATGCGTTCGACGAGCCGGCATACCGCATTATCTTCAAGGCGGATGCGCCTATTGAGTTGAAGACTCTTTTCTTCATTGGATCGTCGCACACCGAGAAGTTTGGCTACGCTCGCCTGGAGCCCGGTGTGAGTCTGTACTCGCGCAAGGTTCTTATTGAGCGCAATTCGCCCGATATTCTGCCGGACTGGATGCGTTTCGTGCGTGGCGTCGTTGACAGCGAGGACCTTCCGCTCAGTCTTTCGCGTGAAAAGATGCAGGACAGCCGTCTGATCCACAAGATCCGTGACGTCCTGACGAGAAGAATTATCCGATTCTTAGAGCGTGAGGTTCGTCCAATATGCACTGCTCGTTGAATCGCCAAATTTCTAGGTTACTAACGCTGTGCTCTAATAACAGTCTACCAAGGAACCGGAGAAGTTCGAGAAGTTCTTCCAGGAGTTTGGACAGTTTGTTAAGGAGGGTATTTGCACGGACTTCGCCAACAAGGATGCCCTGGCCAAGCTTTTGCGTTACGAATCTAGCCAGGTTGATGAAGGCAAGCTGACTACTCTCGATGAGTACGTGTCGCGCTGCCCACCGGACCAGAACGAGATCTACTATCTGTGCGCGCCTACTCGGGCTATTGCCGAGTCTTCACCGTACTTCGAGGCCTTCAAGTAAGTGAAGTGGCCTCGCTATCGCTGGGACGAGCTTGTCCTGCCGTTGTTGGCACCATAAACTAACCTGGTTTGTTTGTTGCACTAGGAAAATGAACAAGGAGGTGTTGTTCGTCTACAGTCCCATCGACGACTTCGTGATGACGAACGTTGCTGAGTTCAACGGTCGCAAGGTGATCTCCGCAGAGCACGCCAAGGTGGACGTTGACAGTGACGACGATGCGTCCGGAAAGAAGCTATCGAAGGACGAGCAGGACCTTTTCGGTGCCTGGCTGAAGCTGACGCTGGAGGACAGCGTGAAGGAAGTCAAGGTATGGGTCTGCGGCTATGTTGTAGGCCCACATGGACCGTATACTGATGTTGCTTCCATTCTTACAGTTCACCTCCCGCCTGACTGACTCGCCTGCGATCATCGTGGACCACGAGTCGGCTTCGATTCGCAAGTAAGTGTTGCCCAGGATGCAGAGCTTACTTGGTAATTTATGCTGATACATTTTGTATTTTGGTGACAACAGAATGATACAAATGGTAAACGACCGCGCGGGCCAGGATATGAGTGGCCTCTCCAAGAACGTGATGGAGATCAATCCCAACCACAGCATCATTGTGGACCTGAACGCGCTGCGGGAAGTCAACGACACCCTCGCCAAGAAGGTGGCCCGTCAGGTTCGTCTCACTATCAATTACTTGGGTTGCTTTTCCAACAGTTAGCTAACCTGGATGCCGTATCAATGCAATAGATCTACACTAACGCGACGGTGGCCGCCGGTCTTGTAGAGGATGGTCGCACCATTCTCGGCGGCCTGAACGAGATCCTTGCGGAGCTTCTTGAGCAGAGCCTGCAAAAGTAGAGCGACAACCATGGGACGAGGGTTGAATAAGGCAAATGTTGCGTCCTTCGGAATGCTTACAACCTAGCTGGCCTTTAGATGATACTTCCAGCGACCTGATGATTGCCAACAGCTTCAATTTGCCGCAGTGTCGTTAACGCGAGGCTCTAATTCTGCGTTACCCCGTATGTTCTTACTTTGTTATGTTCGAAAACAAATCTAAACTGTCCTTCACACGTCAATTTCACCTTTATTTATTGACACAATCCCGCGTGTTTCCTCCAGTCATCGGACACAGCAGTCGGCGGTGTAGCGAGGGTTGCCTCTTCGGCATTCATACCCAGACAGTCAACATGGTGTTCGCCTTCCGCTCCGCCGCCACGCGTGCGACTCCGGCCCTCGCCATGTTCCTTGGTGGCGCGACGCTCGGTATGACGCACTCGAGCACCGCTCGCGCTGAGGACAAGCGCGATCTGCGCGATCTGGAGTTCGGCGTGCCGCACGACCGCAAGCGCGTGGACCCGTTCTCGCCCTTCTTCCCGTCAGATAAGCACCCGTGCACACACGCAGGCATGTTTATCCCCGGTTGCCACGAGCTCAAAATCTTCTCAGGCTCGTCGCATTTCGAGCTGGCCGACGATATTGCGCGGCGTCTAGGCACGCGCGTGGGCAAGATCAAGCTTGGCCGCTTCGCCGACGGAGAGGTGCAGGTGCAAGTAGGCGAGAGCGTGCGCGGTAAGGACGTGTACCTGGTGCAGAGTCTGGCAAGCCCTGTGAACGACAACATCATCGAACTGCTGCTTATGGTCAGCACTATGCGTCGCGCCAGCGCCAAGAAGGTGACCGTCGTGCTGCCGTAAGTGACCTCTGCTTGAAGAAGTATCATCTGGATAGGAAGCTAAAACTTTTCTTTTGTACAGGTACTACGCGTACAAGCATCACCGTCGTGCCAACCCGGCGGCGACCAGCCTGAACTCCAAGTTCATCCAGAGCCCTGCTGCCGACATCGCCAAGATGCTGGAGGTCATGGGCGTGGACCGCGTCATTGCTGTAGATATGCAGATGCGTGTGGAAGGTCACGAGGCATGCTTCTTCAGCTCTGACATCCCTGTGGAGACCATCGAGACCATCATGGCTGGTGTTGAGTACTTCGCCACGCAGGTGCACCTCCGCCGCCCTCTCGTAGTGATGGCGCCCAACCCGGAGTGTTTGCGTCGTGCACGTATCTTCCAGACGGGCCTGAACAAGTGGCTGCCGGATTCGCCTGCGCAGTTCGCCGTGTTCTTCCACGGTACGGGCAAGAAGGAGTCGGGAGAACAGTCTCCGGCCGACATTGTGGGCGACGTCAAGGGCGCTGACGTGATTGTCGTGGACGACCTGGTCGACACGAGTGAGACACTATCCAAGCTTACAAACCTAGCACTGAGCAAGGGCGCTCGCAAGGTGTACTGCTTCGCCTCCCACCCGCTGCTCAACGGCGACGCCGAGCGTTTGATCGATGAGTCGAACGTGTCACAGGTTGTTGTCATGGACACAATCCCGGCTGACCCGAAGGCCTTCCACACCGACAAGCTCAAGCGTCTGTCGGTCGCGCCCATGCTGGCAGAGCTGATCCAGGCCGAGCACTTCAAGGCGCACTCGTACATTGACAAGGTGAACTCACGCGAGGACTTTAAGTACGTGCACCACTATTAAGCTGTACGCGTGAGAGCTGAATGCTGAGGAGGATAGGTAGTTGTGAAAGGAAGATGGCACCGAACGATGTCGATCTGTTGGTATGGGGCTTGCCCTGTTCTGGCGGGTGTTTGAAGCCCGTCGATGCGTAATACTACTACGCAGTAGCATACTCATGCACATGCATCATGTATTATTTCATTCATTCTTCACTCGACGACTGCTTGCTCTTATTACCGGTACACTTCTTCCTCCTCTTCTTGGGCTCGGGAGACGCCAGCGCCTTAATTGCCAAGCATATCTGCTTGAACTCGTCGCTCTTCTGGATCGCCACAACTTGGTCAGCAATGGTCTGCCCCCACGCTCTCACGAAGGAAGACAGCGCACTTTCGGCAGCTTCCTGTGCCTCCTGCAACTTGCGATCCACAATCGGCTCCTTCTCTTTCAGGAACGGGCACACCAGCTTGTCGTACACGATCGTTGCTCCCTGTCAACGTCCCGTAGTCGTTACATACATTGATGATACACTGGTACATTATATACAACGCACCTTTGTCTGCGGCGACATCATCCAGATAAGAAAGAGCGTCTTGGTGATGTTGTATCCGGGCACGAGGCACAGGAGCGGCGACGCCACCGACTCCACGGACGTTGAAGCGCCGTAGACGACCCAGTAGGTGAGCCACTGCTTCTCGCCGTGGCCACTCTCAGGCCGTTCCAGCGCCTTAAAGCTCGCATACGCGGGGTACGCCACCCCCACACCAAGACACAAGCATCGAGACAACGAAGCGCCCATACTGCCGCGTGGACGTAAAGACGCGAAATAGCCGCCATTGAATTTGATAGATAAGACTGAAATGTTGCACTAAGACCTTAAGTTGCGTATAGTCAGACACCACTTCAACATCCAGTGCTCATCGTTCCTCGACGACAAATGGAGGCTGCGATGAGGTGCCGTTGTTTGACCGGCCAGGATGAATGTGGATGCCTTTAACTGAGAATGGGATGCTGAAGTTTCCGCTACCGGCACCCATGGAAATGTGACCATGCTGAATGTCGAATGCCAGCTGGTCATGCAGGTAAAAACCCACCACCTCAAGGCAAGTGTCGAAGTCGTGCACTGCGGTGTCGAGCTCTAAGCTGTTCTCCTCATGTGACAGCCATGAAACGTGTTTGGTGTCGTTAATATGGACGAGGAACTTTGGGATCGAGAGGTTATTCGGCGTGTCCTTCTCGTACAGGAGATCGAGCTCAATCCCATAGAGGTCAAAGTGGATGGGGAGAGGGTTGTTGATCTTGATCGAGACTTTTAGCTCCAGCAAACACTTGTGTGTCTTGGAGTCGAGCTCCTTGAGTGACGGTTTAATGGAGTACTCGCGAAGCAGCGCTGGCTTATCGTCAATTTTGGCTGGGACGTCCACTTTAACGTCCACGAGATCGAGTACTTGCAAGGAATAGCAATCAGTCTCGCGATTGCCTCCAACTATGTGGAGAACGAGATCGTCACCTGCCAAATACGATTGTAACATCGACTGCAGTGGCTCTGACTGGTTCTTGAAAACCTCTGTGTACGCGGAAATGAATGTCTGGCCATCTCCTAAGATGAAGCGCTTGAACCCTGCCACGAGAATTGTTTGTCTTTGCGCAGATTGAACCTTCACTGAAAGTGACGGAAGATTCCATAGCACCCTTGATGCGTACTCAAACGAAACATCCGTGAAGGCAAATATCTCTTGGTCGTCAGTGTCTGTATGGAAATTCGAAAGTGCAATGGTTTTCAACACCTGGGTCACAACACGTTGCAACTCGTCCTTGATCCCATCGACGACCCCAGAGTTCCAAGCACCAGAACCATACAACGGTGGGTCCAATGCATAACGCCACTTTGGAGGGATAGTGGTGCCCACCGGTAGTCGTGGATTATCTGTCAACAAGTTTGAAACGTCCAAGTGTATCGTGAACGGGACTAACATGCACGAAATCAAAACGGGAATTTCTCCATGCACGTCAATAATGTCTGAATCAGCAAACACCAGACTGTAAAACGTCTCAGGTTCTGTCAACAACTCAAATCCCACTGGCAATATCATGGTCGTCACTCCAGATTGAAGCTCAAAGGCCGGAACTTGCAGGTGCAGGAACGCCCTGTTCTTCTTGGCAAATGTAATGTTCAGTGGCCCCACCACTGGCGAGCAGTACGACGGATTTTGGAATTCCATGACCACCTCCCCCAGTGTTCTTCGATGACACAAGTCAGGCAGCGTCAGTTTGTCCAATGTCACCGTCGTCTTTCTCAGCAGTGCCACGAACAAGACGTGCACAATCACCAGCATAGCGATGCCCGCGCCCAACACTACGATCCAGCTCGGATTTTTCGTGTCTCGCCTTCTATGCAGAGTATAGTCATTAGCAGACGCCTCTCTATTTTCTGAGTGATCTAGAAGCGGCTGCAGATCCACAGTCTCGTCGCCATGAAGCAGCGCGTCCTGTGCCATGGTTCCTAACAGAAAAAAAGTAAGCTTGAAGTGTGACATGGTAAACCCATTTCCTTTTTGACCAATCATCTGTCGTATCTAAACAGTGGTTTCAACCTCATTTTTCAGCCAATCATGAGATGTTATTTCGAATTAGAGTGCACTTCAACATCCGCCATGTCGACCGTCCAAGCGCTGCTCACAATGCTGCAGGACCGCGGCAAGAATACGCCAAAGTCTGCACGCCATGTGCTATTAGACCTGGCGTCGTGCTGTCGCTGTGAAGATGCCAAAGCCTCCATCCTCACCGACGGCCTAGAGCCACTCCTGGCGCTTGCGACAGGCGACGAGGAACTGCCTCGTGGCGAGACTCTTGAAGTTTTGCTCGAGCTGCTGGCACTGCTCCTTTTGGATAACCCAGAGGCTAAAGCTAGTGCAGCAAGGGGTGGGGCACTAGAGCTGGCAGTTCGGTGTCTGCGCGAACTGTCCGGAGGTGGCAGACGGCGCGTCAAAATCTTGAAGCGCGCGCTGGAGCTCGTAGATCTACTACGCCACACCGCAGAGTCACAACAGCAGGAGAGACAGATTACCGTGATCAAACAAATTATAGAGATAATGTCGCGTGCAGATGAGGATTCGACTATCTTGGTTCGAGCTACAGATACACTAGGACGCTTCATTGACGGCAGCTTACAGAGAATCCAGGCTGCGGCACAGGAGCGCGTCATCGCCATCCTGATTGACCTGCTGAAGTTGGTACAGATGAAATAATTATTGCTGGGATGGTCGAGTAGGTCTAAATAGTCTGACGCTTGATGTTGTGTCACACTGTTAATAGGCTGGTGACAGTAAGGTGGATTTGAAGCGAACAGTGTGTGAAGTCCTGATTCTGATGGGAGAAGCACCGGGGGTGCTCCAAATGATGGCGACGCAAAATATTGTCAGAGCATTGCGTACTTGTCTACGTGTGGAGACTCGAGCTCGTGAAGTGGAGTCATGTGTGGTTCGTTTACTGTCACGTCTAGCACAACAAGCGCAGGTGTACGGTCAAATTGTGCACGAAGAGATGATGCCGCTTCTTTTCCAAGTCATCGAGCACAACAGTAATATTAAAGAGGTAACCGTGACGACGTGCACGATCATCGCTGACGTGTCAGATTTTGCCCAGCAATGCAAATTGGACCTGTTACCTTTCCTGAAGGACTGTCAAGGAAAAATGCTCGTTCTCGCAGCTACTTGCCATGCACAAGAGGCCAGTGTGGTTGATAACACATTTCGCTTTTTCGTCAACGTGTCAAACAACCCAGTGGACATACCGGACTTGATCAATTCGGAAACAGTTGAAGGTTTGCTGTCGCTATATGTTCTTGCCGGCGGATCCGGCTATCTTGCCGAATTAGCAGGGCATTTGGTTCACGTCATTTCGAGGCTTAGTCGGTCAATCCTGGAACAGTTCAAGATTCAAGAAGAAGACATCACACTTCCAGCCCTATTTCTTTGCTTGAGGAATTATCATGAAGACATACGATTTACGTCTCAGGTTTTTGCAATTTTGGCAAAACACTGGAAGATGCAGGTAAATTGCGCATTGCTCCAGCCATATATTTTTTTCTTTCGTCTGATTTAGTTTTATGGCTGTTTAGTGCCACGATAAGAGTGTCCATGGGATCACAGGTTACATCGGTATTGCCATTGAGGTGCTCTGCAGAACTATTCCGTCGTCGAACTCGTGGGGAGACCAGGTGCGCATTAATTTCCAGGGATTTGGCCGCGTTGCTCAATGGGGGTTTGTGCTAAATTAATATGAATGACTATGAATATGTCACAGACAGCCGACATAGTGAATTTCATTCGAGAGATGATGCTGTCAAAAGACGGCGCTGAGGTAGTCATGAGCTGTGGCGGAAAAGATCTATTAGAAGTGCTTCACAATTACATTGACACCCGAGGCGATAACTCGTCTTCAGATGCAGGGATCTCTTGTGCGTATGATGGGTCTTCGAACGCATCTTCATTAGTTATATCAAGCAGTGATTTTGGTGGCGGAAGAATGGCTTCCATTGTTGTGAATATGCTCGAGAAAGCAGTTCTTGGGTTATCTGACGTAGAAGTGGTTACAGATATCTCCTCTTCTGCCTCCAGCACGAACCACCAGTCACGTCTTGGAGATGCCGAGTATGACGACTACGTATCTCGACGATTGCATTTGGAAAAATCATGCCATTTTAAGCCGATAGAGAAGACAGAACCACGAGGAAACATCTTCTGTAGCGAGCCTGAGACTACATTTGACCAGATACCATCCGAACAACATTTTATTGAGGTAGCCCAAGAAAAACATGACATGAAAGGCTCAGTCAAGCAAAAACTGTGTGGGGAAAGTAATCGAGTCGACGTCACTGGTTCAGCTAAATGTAGTGGAGAAGCCGGGGAAGACGCAGACGCTAGTGCAAATAACGACGTAGATAATGCCGAAGAAGAAAATGACGATGACAGTGACGAGGAGGGAGATGAAAGCATTGAAAAAACGGAGTCTACAAGCGATGCAGTTGAGATAGCAAGAGTTCCCAGTCTGTTCTCAGATCCTCCCAGTGGAGGCCTGTCACCAATTGGGCACCAGAGTTCGATCTCAAACAAAAGTACTACATCGAGAAGTACGCCGATGGCAAATTTCTTCGACCATCTCGAAGATAAGAAATGGTATTACTTTGATGAAAACTCCATGATAAAATACCCAAAGCACCCCTCCAGAGTGAACCATGCAAATCAAATCAACCCCGAAGAAGAATTTGTCCTGGACGATCCAGGGTTCTTAGAACCATGTAATACTCCCGAAGCTGAGGATGGAACTCTGTTTGTTGAAGAAGCTGTTGCAAGGCGAGCTGAATTTATTGCGAGCGATGTCAATTTGAGAGCACGAATCGTGTATGAAAACATTTCGATGGTAGAAGATCGCGATAACAAAGTCGCGGGTATTCCTCCGTTTTTATTGAACTCCTGTGAAATTCAGCATGATGTTCCGTATGTTGTCTCCGAGGAAACGAAGGCTTTTCCTGATCTCAGTAGCGACTTGACGTTTGATAGCAATTTTGAAAGTGGGAATCTAGAGCGAGCAATTCGCATTGGGCAGTTCGAGTATGATCTTGTCTTACGCCCCGATTTCAACAGTCCCGGTCACATGCAGTGGTTCTACTTTGCTGTAAGTAATATTCAAACGCCAAATGCAACTCCGCGAGCGGGTCAAAAGTACCGCTTCAATATCGTAAATCTGTGCAAGTCAAACTCATTGTTCAATCAAGGATTGCAACCGGTGGTATACTCCGTACGGGATGCTCATGAGAAAGGGAAAGGATGGGTACGCTCAGGCACAGACATTTACTATTTTGCCAATCCCTTTGTACGCCCAGCAAGAAATGCGGCAAACTTCTCGGATGTCGTCCCTACGGAGACATCAACTACAGCCACCACCGCGACACCAACAGCTCCTGCCATGACGTATTATACTCTGACTTTTACGCTGGAATTCTGGAACGCAGATGACACCTATTTGATCGCACACAGCTACCCGTACACGCTTACAATGCATCAACTTCGCATCGATAGTATTCTCCACTCAGGACACGACACTGGCCACATCCTTCGGCATAGTTCATTGTGTACAACGTTGAGTGGGAGAAATTGTGACTTGTTGACAATCTCGGATTTTTCTGTGGCTGAACAAGAACTCAATGCACGGAGAGCAGCTTTCTTTACCTCGCGGGTGCATCCAGGGGAGTCTCAAGCCTCTTGGATGATGCGAGGAGTAATCGACTTCCTGTTGGGAACATCGACTATTGCTTGCGTCTTACGTCGAATGTTTATATTCCAAATCATCCCAATACTTAACCCGGATGGTGTGTATTACGGCAACAGCAGATGTGGTCTTTCGGCTTGCGACTTAAATCGGCAATGGCAAACCCCGAGTAAGGCTCTTCATCCAACAATATTTCACGCAAAAGAACTCCTTGTCAAAGAGCGCTCCACACGAGGGGTTGCTTTCTATTGTGATATGCACGGTCATTCCCGAAAGAAAAATGTGTTCATGTATGGATGTGATACCAAGCGGAAACCAAATCCAGCAGCACGAATGTTCGCAAAAGTCTTCTCGATGCAACAGACTGCCAAAAAGTATATTTCTTTTCCACATTGTAGCTTTAAAGTGAGTAAGGACAAGGAGACAACAGCACGCGTGGTCGTTGCGAACGAGCTCAAGATCAATTGGAGCTTCACACTTGAAGCTTCGTTTTGCGGCGCCAGTTACGGAGAACTATACAATATGCACTTTAACACCAAACATCTGCGTGAAGTTGGAGCGTCATTATGCGAAACATTATTCGAGGCTTGTATCAGCGACGCTAGCACTCGTGACAAGCTTTTGGACAGAGTTGACGACACAACAGTATGCATTCCCCAGCTAATAGAGCCGTATTTACGTGACGCGGGGGTTATTGGTGAAAAGTATCCGGTGGACGAGGACACCAATTTGAATCCTCGCTCTTCCTTTCTGAAATTTCTCAAAGGAAAGAGAGCATCTATGAAGAAAATATCTAATGAGGCTGCAGCGAAAAGAGTGAGGAGAAAGAACTCCAAGACACGAGCGACTACAACGTCGGATGCAGGAGCTTCAAAAGCTACAGATACAAATGAAGGCTCAGGGAGCCGACGAAAATTAAGTCGACAACAGATCAAGTCTTCTTCATTTGCCTCTGGTCTGGTTGAGCGAGTCACTCCAGAAACTTCCGACTCCACAAGTTGCCTGGATCTTGCATGTATCCCACCTCCCAAACTCAGTGGGCGGAAGTTACGGAGTAAATACCCAAAAGTTCGTAGGTCGAGAAGCAGTCCTGATGAACAGGTGAAATCTCGACGTCGCGCCATTCCTGGACTGGCCTCAAATACAGCTGTCGATAATACTGAAGACAGCGAGGACACCAATGATTCAATTATGCCGCTGGTTTCTCCGTCAAGATTGTCAACTGCGATGCCTGGCCCCTCGACTTCTTCTGTTCGCGTCTCTCTTGGCAGCTTTCAAGGTCCCGAGTCTGCCTATATGCGATCTTCGAGAGCGATTTCGTTTCCGTATCCAAACAGCGTAGTTGGCATCCCGCTTCGAGACTCGCCAGTAATTCTTCCATCTCCAGTTGGCGAAGCCATGACACGGTCACCAAAAGCACCGGCTAGTCGTATCCGCTTCAGGTGAATGCTATTTGCTTACCCTCAGCTGACAAGCTTATCACTAATGCCATGGACCAACAGGGGAGCCGGCAGACAATTTGCAGTAGTCAATACCATTCCACGAACCAGCATCCACGACATCCTGGTACGATTCATTCCGTATCAACTCTTGCTCCACGTTCTTGGCCTAAAACATCACTACGCTGTGCTGCCAGAAATCTGACCCGGTGACAGCATTTCAGTCGTATGAAGCAGATCTGATCAATGCTTCAACCATGGTTATCCGACCACGCGGTAGTATTTCAACTAACAACAGCGCTACAGCTGCAGCGGACGAAAAGAGTCACTCGCCGCCGTCGTCCCAGTATCTGAGTTTCCCGAGTGTCACCTAGCGGGATTATGAAGTTAGCACTGTTGTTTTTGTGGCTTGTTCACCACATTTGTCGCTGCCTTCACGAGAGAATCCAAGCGAGTTTCGATCTTCTGCAGGCGGCTCATTGTGAATTCCTGTTCCTGATGAAGAGCAGAGAGCCATTTATCTTGGCACTGATGCATCTCAGTTTGAACGCTCACGTATTCGCCAACAGATTTCTTTCGGAGCTCCCGCTGAATTGATGTGTACCTGTGCAGGTTGTCATTAACTAGAATTTGGTAGCAAACCTGTTAGGATTCTGAATTAGCAGTCGTCTAGAGGAATCAAAGATGATCGTACGCTTTCTATATGGACGCGACCCGGGCTTAAAATCATGGAATCGTCGCCAAGTTGTTTGAATTGTACGTGCGCACGTCTGTTTGAGTTCAGATTCGTATTGTTGGAGTCGTAACGAGTGAATGAATCGTTTGTCTCGGTCATCAAGGCGAAGGAGAGCGAATAGCGCTGCACTCTGTATTAAAGCAAAAGAAATCAATATTGTGATTATAATACACGACAAGACAAGGTTGGTTTAACATTTGACGTACCAGTGCTGCAACAAGTAGAATTCCAGCAATCATTCCACCAAATATTAAGAACACTTGACCAGCAGTAGTCACAGGCGCAACATCGCCATAACCAACTGTAGCCATCGTCAGAGCCACAAGCCACACAGCATTGGGTAGCGACGCTAGATTCGGGTTCACGGGTGTCTCCACGATTGAAAGCGCGTACGAGGTAACGATCAGCGTGCCAAAGAAAGTAGACAGGAGCAATCGAAATGGGTGCGACTGAAGAAAACACTTGATCGCGAACAGAGGGGCCATGGTGTCCACACAGTGCAGTGCTCCCAAGTATGATGTGTGACAACTGGAGATCCGATGGAAATCAAAGAAATGAGAAGCCGTATAAAGGTTAAGCAATAAACAATAAACGCATACCTGGCAAAACTTGAAAAATTCCGAATCACTCGCGGGATCATATACAGCCGAAGCAGCGAGAACAAACCTAGGACTTCATATCTGCAAGTACACAACGAATGCTGTTTTTGTTAGCTCCGCACTCATAAATATGATGCAAACCAAGAACCGATGTAGCTTTGCCACGTACGGGTACGCATAATCCTGGTAGCAACTTGCATCTTGAACTACAAATGGCGCCCCGCAAGATCCATCGTCCGTGTAAAATTTCCACTCACGCACTTCGAAGCTGCCATTGGTTCCAGGTGGGATGATGGTAAAGCACGTGGCCAGTTCAAGGGCTAGCTGAACCAGTTGCCTTGGCATTCCGAAGATGGTGACATGAGGCGGCAACACATTTCGACGAATTAGGATACGTCGCTCCAAGACGAAGCGCCAAATAAGGAGACTAAACAAAATCTTCGTCAGCACGGAGTTAACTATGCGTAGTACCAGCTTGATATCCTTGTCAACAACGTATTCGATGTCGAGAATAACCAGGACTACTCCAATCTTCACGATTTCAAACATGAATTAGAATGCGAATCATCACAAACAACATCTACGATCGATATCTCACCATTGCAATAGCACATGCCGCATTTTCGATGACATGTTGACGCTCGTAGAGTTCATGAAGCGAGTAGACGCCCTGTATCACATGCTTGGCAACGCGAAGGCTGTCACCTGTGGACGGCAAATTTGGAGGCAGGTAGGCGCTACTTTTGCGTCGTAATAGCACTACGTCCGAGCCCTCATTATGCTCGCTCTGTAGCTTGAAAGCATCTTCCACCTGCTGCTCCACCGCCAGTCTCTCTTCATCTAGCCGCGAGCTCTGCCGTCGAGCGAACATACCAAAATTCGTCTGATTTGGCTACACCTCGCATTATAATGTAGCCATTTTGAAACTAGCCAATCATCAGTCTCATTATCACTCGCTATGATGGAGACTGGAGCTGTGGTGCAGGTGACACACGCCGCGAGCGGCTATTCGTTCCGCGCGTTGGTTGAGCGAGTCGCCTCCTCCGACTCGTTGATGCTGAGTCTGTGCAGTTTGGAGCGGCCGTATGAGAAACTCAAGGTGGCGCTGAATGGCCAAGTGAACTGGGTGCTGGCTGCCGCCAAATTCGCCGCTTTCCTGGTGGAGTTCGAAGCGCCTGGAGAAACAAAAGATGGCGAGTATTTGGTGCATTTCAAGGCGGTGGCGCACCAGAAGAAGGTCAATCGCTCGCAGTCCAATGGATGGTACTTGGGTGTGGATTCGTCGGGCCTCATTGGCGACGCTGGCAAAGGGGAGGACAGTCTGTTCTGTGTAGCAGTAGTATCGACGCGAGCAGCTTTCGCATTGGACACTACGCGCTCGTTGATGACAAACTCACAGCACAAATCGCTGTTAAGTGAGTCGCAGCGACGGTCGTTCATGCAGAACGGATATTTGCAGATCCGTGGAGCTGTCCCACTGCCTTTGGCCAATGCGGCGCTGCGGCGTATCAATCATGACCTCGGTATCCCAGGAAACATGATCGATGGCGGAGTGGAAGGTGCAATCAAACTGGCAGGTAAAACGTCCAACAGCGACGTGATATTGGATCTCTACTACCTCTCGGACGTCAGCAAGTACGTAGAAGCGCTTGTTGGCATTGATCAAGTGGTGCCGCCCCAAGGAGCCCAGATTGCGTTGCGATTTCCAGAGCTTGGCGAGCCACGAGAACCTCTGGGTACCGAATGGCACACAGACGGTATGCGGCAGGGTCATTTACATCCATTCACTTTGTTGGCGGGCATCGCGCTTTCGAACGTACCAGAGCCGTTATGCGGCAACTTGACTGTGTTTTCTGGCTCGCACATGTCGCTTCACAGCCGCTTGACTGCCGACGGTAAACTTCGTGGCCACGACGACGAGTGCTATAAGGCCGATAGCGTGTGGGGGGATGGCACACTACCGGACTTGGGTACACCTGTACAGCTCTTGGCAGCACGTGGTGACCTAGTGCTGGCACACCCCAACCTTGCACATCGTGGTGGCCTCAACTTTTCTCCAGACATTCGCTACCAAGTATACTTCCGAATCAAGCACAAGCGGCTAAATGAGCTCCAACAGGACTGCATCACAGACCTATGGGCAGACTTACAGGGACTCGGTTTAGACGATAAGACTTCTATCAGCCAAGATGTTTAGCGTTTATTATATAGAGAACGGGATCACAGTGATCGACACACGAATGTTGCGGTGTACAAAAGACTAACCACAAAAGGAGTCCACAGACTCAACTCACAAATTACGAGATGCATCATCATACTACTCGTCCAGACTGCTCAAAAGATGCTGGTGGCTGTTTCTGTTGGAACCCATTGGACGCAGTGGGCACGTAAGCTATGGTCGATGCTGCGCTACCATTCGGGTAAATGTTCTCCATATTACCGCTGGTAGCAGTCGGGTGGCTCGAGGTCTGCAATAAAGTACCAGATGTGGGTACAGCTGGGGCAACGCTGTGCGTGGGTCCTCCTGTAGACGCCAAAATGTCCTGAAAGTTCATCTTCCGCCGTCGTGCATCAGCGAACTGACCCATGTCGAGCGTGCGTGATCGACTGTCACGTGGCTGGCCCATAGTGGGGCCACTGGACGTAACAATTGGTGGTGGACGGCTCAACAAACTGCGACTGGACAGCGACGGTAATGCACCGCTGGCTGATTGCTGGGCTTGAGTGTCAGTACCTGCAGCACAGGACGAAGGTGGCGGATGCAGATAAGGACTGGCACTGATCGTCATGGAGCGCATTCGCGGAACCTCATGGCCTGTGTAATTCGCAGTAGAGGGGAAAGCGGCGAACCGGGTATCGTTAGCGTCTCGACGTGCAGGAGGCGGAGGGAACTGTGGGTTCCCAACGGCAGGAATAGATGGTCGCATCGATCCAGGGGCAGTTGGACGAGGAGGAAACATGGGGTTTCCACTGGTGGGGATAGATCGACGCTCGCCGTATGCCGGTGGCGGTGGGAACGCCGGGTTTCCTGCAGACGGAATCGATGACGCACGGACGGGAGTGGCGCCCATTTGTTCGCGAAGACTGGTGACCCACCCGTCCACTTGTGATACATCGAGGCCCGTGTCTCTAGCCAGCTGCACTCGCTCCGTGTCGTTTGGATACGGATACTCGCGTCGAGCATTAGCGTTCACCCATTCCTGCAGGATCTTGTGTCCACGCGGCGAGAGACTGTTGCGAGGGGCATGTCCGTCGTGGCCGCGCTCCAACACACGCTCACGAATTCGTTCAGCATCCAGATACTCGTCTACGTCGGTCCGTGCCGGTGCTTCTGACATGGAACGAACAGCGCGTGTCGGGTACATCGGCGCGCTCACAGGGATGGCCCGAGGTCGAGCATACCTGTCGAACGCTGGTGCCGCCCCATGAGGTGGCGCACCGAGGCTTCCAGCATCGAAGGAATGACGCACTGCCGGACGAGGAGCATAGCTACTGTCAGCGTATTGCTGGCTCAGTCCGGCACCTGGGAACTCGCGCACTGCCGTATGGTCAAACTCCATAGCGGACTGCATCTGACGCGAATGTTCGCGTCGCATCATGGGCTTCCAAATGCGCTTGCGCGCGTTGGTGAACCAGTTTGTGAGCTGTTTCATACTAATGCCAGTCTTCTTAAGTAGCATTTGCTTATCCTGTATAGACAGTCACACAACGTCACGATAAAGGAGGATGTTAGACTACATCGCATCCACTCAACATCCTCTTGATCCATGGCTTACCTCGTCCGTGGGGTACGGATGCTTAACGTGCTCGCGAGATAACATCCACCCCTTGAGGATGGCGACGGTATGCGGCGGCAGCTCACGGCGCGATTTCTTGGACGGCTGCTGCTGCTCCTTTGGCTTCTCTGTTGCATCGGTGCTTCCGTTGGCGCCGGCGTCGTTGGTAGGGCTCGAGGGTTGCTTGCGTTTCTTTTCGGCAGTGGGGGGTGACGTGGTGGCGCTACTGCTCGCGATGGCGGAGCCTCCAGACATTGTGGTCTCTGAAGTGTTGTCCGTGTTGGCGGGGGAGGTCGAAGAAGAGGAAGAGGCGACTGCAGCTGGGGGTGTTCCGTGCGGATATGCGAAGGGTTTGACTTGGTCTGCGCTCTGCTGCGCCGTCATCATGTTGGGACGGGGGAAGGAACTAACTGGCCCTCGGGTGCGTGCACGTGCTGCTCTCTGCTGCTGGCCTTACGCGGATTTTTGGGTGCGAGCGCCTCGTGTGGGTGAGTTGGGCAGCGAATGTGTTGCTTCGGCGCTCTGCACGGGGGCGGACGTTTCGGCGCTGGGCTTGTAGCTACGACTGGACTGACCGCTGGTGCCACCCTCGAATGACTTGACTAGGCGAGTGACGGCCGAACTGACCGAAGAATTCTCCTGGCGCAACCCAGCTGACCGAACAGATTTTTCACAGCCCCACCCCTGGTCAAGAACCTGCGTATATGAATCTTTATCGTGCTTTTGTTGAATGCGATATCACAGGTAGACAAGCTTGCCAATTTAGACTGAATTGCTTTAAACTTGGATTAACTAATGAATTTCTTTCACTGAGCTTACAATACTAAATCCCAATTTTACAGCAGATATCAACTATCATGGTATAGAAACAGCCGTGTCACAGTCGTCGATCAGACCCACAGAGCCGAGCCAATAGCGATCAAGTTGTCAGCGTCTCTTCCCGAAGTTTTACTTGCACCCAGTATGCTGATCCATCATGGTCACAGCTGCCAACGGCAGAGAGCCACGAGGACTGCTGCAACCTTAAATAAGCTTTGCCCTATGTCTGTAAGCACACGTAGTGACTCTGGAGCCATCACTAGGCGCACAAGGTCCTGGACGTATGGTCATTTCGTGGACGCCGCACGACGTCGCGTTCCACGATCGCAGGATGAGTCATTTCGGATGATGGCTTCACTCGTACATAGTTGACTACTCCCACCACACCACGTTACGTAATATCGTCCATTTGTAATGAATACACTACCGGTAGAGGTTCAACAATAATTTATAAATACAATATATTTTGTATTTTGATTAAAATAGCTTATTATTGCTTCATTTTCCTTAACCCTTGTAACGCCGTATTATGTATTATACAGAATAAGCATTATTGCAGGGAAAAATATTCCGAGAGCTTCGAAGCGCGTGTTTTCTTCGCATATAAAAGTTTGTATGATGGAGGTTGGGGAAGCTGATCATGAAAGATCTGTGCTGGGAAGATAGACGGGGTTTTCTTTCGAGGTATAGAAATAGCAATATAAGCTCAGTAGAGGTTTGAGTAATGCTAGTAACGGCTAATTTTTCGCAAATGACTTCCCCCTAATTCCCCCTCAGCCATTCAAGATTTTCCTGCTTCGGAGAAACTGACCGCCAAGATGGAGTGGCTCAGTGCCAAGGAGTTCAAGGCCTTCTGGCGCAAGCTTGTAAAGTCTGGGTGGAAAGCGAGAAGGCCCAGGGACCTGAGCGTGGACTACACGTACGTGAAACCCGGCGTAACTGGAAAACTCAACGATGCTGAACGCGGGGAAAACTATTTTGTTGGTGCGTTTTGAGCAATAGAAAGACTTTCTTGATACTAACGGTATGCATTGATTAGGAACAAAGGAACTGGAGGCCTTTGCACGACGGACGGGACTCTTGCCGCCAGCTGAACCTGTTGAAACCCTGTCAAGCGAGGCTATCAGGACGCTACCGGAAACTGTGCAACCGTCTGCCGCCCGAACTAAATCTTCTCGCCGTGGAAGTCGTGAACCAGCAGCCCGTGCCGCTCGTCCGACAACACCAGAACCCGTATCAGTCTCACCAGCCGAAGCTTCCGAGTCAGCTGAGAGTCTTTCGACAGGTACAGAATACTTTATTCCGTCTGATACAGAGTAACCTTTTCTGGCTGATACAGAATTGACTAATCTGTATAGCATAGAATATCCTACGCAGGTGGCTGAAATCGCGGAGAAATCTTCAGACGACGAAGAGGAAGAAGCGAAGCGTGATGAAGGTTCTGCTGATGATGTGGCTGTCTTTGACACGGAGAATTTTATGGAAGCACTGCGATCAGAACAATTATTTGGTCCAGTGCCCGCGGATGATGTAAATGTGTGTACGGATGATGATCAAGGTGCCGACGATGACGACGACGACGCTGAGGATGACGGGGATGCGTTAGGTGTGCCAGCTGCATCTTTGGAGTACGAGAGTGAGGTGGAGTCTGACAGCGACTTTGAGGATGACAGCGATGCGTTTGCACAAGACGACGATGCCATGAGAGGTCTGCGGTGGCGCGTATTCGACCAGAACAAAAGTGGTAAGTCTGTATCATACAGAATACTGTTGGTGGCATATCCTAATTCTGTATTGTATGGCATACAGATGAACTACAATTGTCTGGCGCTACAGATCTGTATAGTGGGTCATTCGGCGTCACGAAATCGGCAGCTGCATACGCGAAGTCACCGTTGGGCATGTTTTTCTACTTCCTTCCAAAGGCGCTGTGGGTGCACATTGCAAGTGAAAGTGAC